GACGTCTCAAAAAATGTGTCAGTTTGGAGCGCGCAAAATGGGCACGATGTCAGGTGGGATTTGTGAGATTTCTGAGGTCACTTGCAGTGAACACACGGAGAGCAACTTTTGCGCAGCTTTGCAGTAATTGAGGAAGCAAGACTACCCCCCACCCCGTAGCCCGTAGAATCTTGGCATAGATTTTGCAGGATTGGTGCACGAGGGATGGAGCACATGTGGCGGAGTCGTGTCTTCCCCGGTTTAAAAACCAATGTATCTTTAAAACGGGCTCTCCTCGACTCCGCTGTATTCCGCTGTCATTCTAAGGGGAATTCCACCCTGGAAAACTCCGCCGATTCCGCTTACATGAACTCCACCGACTCCGCCCACATACGAAACTCGGATTCCTTTTTCTCAGTGCTTATTGCTTGAACTCAGGTGTTTCTATCTTGGCATGCAGTGTGAAGATGGCAAAGAAGCTTTTGCGGCGCGTCGGAACTTATGTCAAGAATTGAGACGTCCGGCCCGGACCTCCCAGGTACTGGTGTTTCGGGTTTTTTTTGGACAACTGATAGTGTTTGGAACGACTAAGTATCCATGATTGGGCGACTTACAATGGTAAGTTCTGTGATTTGATAAGGAGTGGATGCTGCAGAGTGGCTTTTGTTATGCTGTTTCACTTGGTGACTTGTGTGTTTCATGGTCCCGTTCTTGGGTTTCGCCGTCTCTGCTGGTGTGTTACGGTGTGTTGGTTGGGTTGGTTGAGTCTGTCCGGAACGTTTCACTTCTGCAGGATGGCCTACTGTGCTGACGCAGTAAAGTTGCCAAGAAATTGGTGCACCACTGCTAAGTCTGCGGGGGAAGGGCTCCCAGACATGCAGTTGATTGGGTGGACAACTTTGCAAGGAGGATATTTGTGATCTTGCGTGGAACGGAGGCTGATCTCCGTTCTATTGGTGAACGTTAGTTGCTTCCTTGCTTCCTCCCTGGTGGCCAACTCTCGATCACAAGGTGCGACCATTTCAATTTTGGTTTTGCCTTTGTTTGATGATCAAGTTATCGACTGAGGGCATCGCTCATATCCTGCATTGCTGCCGCTTTACACGCATTGCGTTTGCTGGTGCAACTATGTGACTATGTGCTCATCGTCTAGTGCTGAGAGCGCCGTTTCACCTTGGTAGCTTTGGTTGTGTTGGTGTTTTGGTTGGTCTTTGTTTTGGTGGTCTCTTTGGATGATGCTTGGTCTTACGTTTCACTTCTTACAAGCAATAGGCTTGACTCGCTTACTGCGCCGCTGATGTGGTAAAGAAGCTCGTTGCCAAAACAAAAAGCGCCAGACTTCCAGACACAAGCATTAAGCCAGGCAGACAAGGGCTTTGGATGCTGCCAGGCCAATGAAGCTTCACAAAATGCAAATAGCTCGCCCACTCCTTATCTCCAAGATTCAAATCCAAAGCTTCAGATTTCGCGTCAAGTGTGTACACTGTATTTACAGCCATTCCGGACACATCCCGAAGCTTTAAGGCTTCTTTTCATGAGTGGAGCTTTGTTCTAAATTCCACCCTCGTTTCTTGTTTTTCATATTTTGTGGGTTCAAAAACCAGCAAAGGTAAAACTCTAAATCATATACAAGTTTCCTTTTCAGAAGCTTTCGAATTTTCTCAAGCCCCCTTCGAGATTGTTTCCCAACCCCCTTCAGCCCCTTCGAAGCCTCCCTTGAATTCGAATTTGAGGAAGCCCGCCTTCTCTCCCAGAGACTCCAAAACCCCTTAATTAAGGAACATACCTTAAGTCATATTAGGGTTCCTATTATAATTCAAGGTATATTCCTTCATTTAGGGGTTTTGGAGTCTCTAGGCAAACCCCCCTTGAAGCTCCTTCCCAAGCCTTCATTGTTCATCTTCCCCTCAAAGCCCCGTGACCTCCTCAAATTCGCTTTCGAGAAAGCCTTCTTTCTCAAGCCCCCTTCACAAAATTCTTAAAGATCATACCCCTTCCAACCCAGGTTCGAATCCAGGTTTTCAGGTTGCAACTTATATTCAAATTCAGGTTTGAACCCAGCTTCAAATCCAACTTTCGAATTGGAACCAGTTGGGGGTCTCCCATTTGCTTGTTGTTGCTGGCTCCAGAAGGGAAGAACCGAAGCTCTGAATTCGCTTCGAGAGAGTTTTAGGAAGCCTTTGGAGCATTCTATATTTTACGCAGAGTTTGATCAGAGTTTAATTTGTCAAAATTGTGGACATTGTGTCTTCCAGGGAGACACAATGTCCACCTTCAAGAGATATAAACATTGAGAATCAAACTTTGACATGCTTGTTCCAAAGTTCAGCGTGTTTGCAATTTCAAACTAGAAACCATGAGTTCGCTGCAAGAGACTCATTGAGTCCAACTTGAAACCATGATTTCGCTGGAGGGGCCTGAACTTGAAAACCGGAGGAGCCTTCTTGTGTTTAACTGGAAACCATGATTTCAGGAAGGTTTTTTTCGCCTCCGCCGGAAAGGCCTTCTTGGGCACAACTTGAACCATGATTTTGTGGAGGCCTTCTAGGGTTTAATTAAAAACCGCATTGGGTCGGAGGAGTTTCAACTTGAAATCGTGATTTCGCCGGGCCTTCTCGGACCCAGCTTGAAACCATGATTTCCCCGCGGGCCTTGTGGGGGCAGAAGTTGAAAGGCGCAACTTGAAATGGGGTTTTTTGGACCTACCTTGAAACCATGATTTCGCCGGAGGGGTCAACTTGAAACCATGATTTCGCGAAAAAGGCCTTTTTGGGCCCAACTTGAAACCATGATCTCCCATGACGCCGGAGGCGCCTAACCATGATTTCGCCGGAGGGCCAACTTGATGATCTGGACTTGAAACCATGATTTCGCTGGAGGGGCCTTCATGGGCCCAATTTGAAACCATGATTTCGTAGGAGGGGCCTTCTTGGGCGCAGCTTGAAACCATGAGTTGCCGGAGGGGCCTTCTTGGGCCGGAGGGGCCTCAACTTGAAACCGTGATGTCGCCGGAGAGGTTTTCTTGGGCTCAACTTGAAAACCATGGTTTCGCCAGAAGGGGCCTTCTTGGGCCCAATTTGAAACCATGATTTCGCCGGAGGGGCCTCAACTTGAAACACTGATTTCGCCGGCGGAGCCCAACTCGAAACCATGATTTCGCCGCAGGGTATCATGATTTCGCCGGAGGGGCCTTTTTGGGCCCACTTGAAGGCTGCACCTGTAGAGTCTAGAGACAGAAAAACGCTCAAAACAAACTCATAACAATTTCGTAGCCTTGCAAATTCCTTGTGCAGTGCACGGTTTCAAGTCCTCGAGGAGTCGTTTTCGGTGATTTTCCTCAGGAAAAACGCCCAAAGCAAACACAACCACGGTTTCAAGGCCATTTCAGGAGTCGTTTTCGGTGACTTTCCACATGGCAACAACCGGCCATTTACTTGACACAGGAGCAGCAAGAAAGTCCACACACGTGCGACCCGGACCGAAATGCGGAGTACCTCCACGAAGATGTAGGCATTCCAGACAACATTCTAAGAAGGTGAAAATGAGTTTCACTCGACGACGTGCAACCATTACCTCTGGGTTTAGAGCATGCGGAGGATGCTGTCCCTTTATCCGTCACAGAGGCTTCGCTCTTCTCAGGACTATGTGAACATCTTTGCCTCAACACATATTGACAAAGACGCATTTACTGTCAGTTACATACAAGCAGCCAGGATTGTATTTCATGACAAGGACTGTTTATTGACTACAGACCCAAAACAACAAGAACAAACTCCGTTCAAGAGTGCGATGATACGTGGTCGTTGCTGATGTTCGCTGTCCAGCGACTTCGGCGTCAAGAGAATGGCGGATCGTCTACAGGATGTCGCAAAAAACATGGGCACAGCAAACCGCTCATGACCTAGCTTCAGGCTCAAGCTTGGGGTCCCGGGGTTGGACCAGGGTCATTGCAAGGCGTAGGAGCTTCGTGAAGACATGGGAACTTGGCCAAAATCTCGCAAGATGTTTCCTATCTTATCTGAGGTAGAAGGCTTTCCCAACACATCGTTATGAACCTTTCGCACGGGTTGTCAAGGGCACTGGTACACTAACCCGAACATTCCAGTTCACCAGGGTCCCAGCCATGGCCGGCCGCGGGTCCAGGGCCCAGATCTGCGGAGGAGGGGGATTCATCCCAAACGTTAGACCTCCCCAAAGCCACCCCCCCGAGCCCTGATCACCATTTTTGTAACACGATTGCGATATGCGGTGTTTGGCATGGTCCAATGGTGCTGCTGACATTTCTCAAGTCCTAAGTCGAGGCTCCATAATATCCAGGCATAAGATCTGCAACGTTTACTGACGGGATCTGACGGGCTGGAATCGATAGGTGCGACCTGGCCCATGATATTCCAGAGAGAACAACGGCACAGCTGCAGAAAACACACCTTGCATTGGAGATGTGAGTCCGCTGCGCCTGCTATGCCGCGGCGATACTATTGCCCGTTTGTGCTGGCACCGCTCGTTGCTGGCGCCCCAGTCTCGCGAAGACAGCAGTGCTGCACCGGCCTTCACGACACGCACTAAGCTCAGAACCCAAACTTCACCAAGAGGCGCTCCGAACCTCAAGTCGGTTCCAAAAGTACTTCGGATATCCTACGCAGGGTTGCTTGGTTACCCTCCTTGTGCACAGAAGTACAACTCGACACTGAACTTCCTCCAAAGCGCAGGGCGGATCACACACATCTCTCTCGTGGGACTTCCATGCTTGCAGCTCAATGCTCCATGCGGGAGGGACTTGTTGAGGCTGCGACCAGCATCAGCAACATCGAGCACTCGAACGCTTCCGTTGCCTCGGCAATTCGGCAATGGCAGGCCGTTGATTTCCAGACACCTTCGCTGGCGATTTGTGCGAGAAGTTTTCGGACACAGGATTCCGAGGGTCCGAGCCGGCAGCCCAAACAAAACCCAGAACCCTAAAGACTCCTCCCAAAGCCCTTCGAAGCCAGGCGATGGATGTCCAGCGTTGGCCCGCACGTGCCATGGAAGTTCTAGGCTTTGCAGGACCTGCGCGCTGGGGGGGCTGAGGGGGGTGGGTGGTGGGGTGACAAGGCAGGGGTTCGGGGTTTGGGATTCCGGGGTTTGGGCATCCGGCGCTTCAGGCTTTGCAGTTTATGCTTGATTATTGTCGGTTTAAGGGTTTTGGAGGGTTAGGGATACAATGGCGCTGAGCTAAAGCCCGACTGCAGGCCAGCAAGCTGATGCAAGCAGTGCTTTGGCAACGGCGCCGGCAAGGCCGGACCTGTCTTCCGCACCGCTCATGCGCCACCTGGCAGCGTTTAGGAGAGAGGGGGGGTGAAGGGATTTTGGGTTTGTTAGGGTCTACTCGGATAAGTTAAGGGTGAGGCAGTTTTGTGCGGATTTCGGCTAGGTACAGGCTCAGGAAGGACAAGCGGCTGTTCTGGTTGTCGTTTCTGCTTGGTCATCCCTGACTCTCCGCACTTCATTGCAGAGTATCCTTTTTCGTGCTAAGTCCTAGGATTCCGAACTTTGTGCGAATGCTCACAACATTGTGCACCCGAACTTGCCAAGGGGTCTGAGCTGAGTTCCCTTCAGTCTCATGACCAACTCCAGTTCGTAATTTTTCAAGCCCAGGCCACATGCAATCCGGAGATCTTCCGAGCTGGATTTGGGTCGGGGAGCTGGCAGCCATCGTGATCACGCTCGGCTTCGTGCTCGTTGCGGTCCACTTGCAGGCCAGGCTGGCTTGTGCTGCTCGCAGATCCGACTCAGACCCGACTTAGAGGACCCTCATTCCATCCTTCCGGGAAGCTACTCAGCGTGAGGGGAACGGCTGTCACAGCAACTTTTGACTGGGTTCCCTTGACACCCTATAGATGATATAGATTGCAACCCTAAGCCGTCAACTTCGACCAATGTCGCGAGGTGTCCGAATGTCTGGGCCAGCGCCGGAAGATGGTGGAAAAGGCGCAGCGGATGGCGCACCTCAGCTGCGGCATCTTCCTTCTTTGTCTCAGGAGCGATTTTCGGGAAAGTAGCAAACAGCTGAACGCCCAACGGCCGCTATCTGCCTCGGGGGCCGTGCCATGAGGACCCGCAAACTCAAACGCTTAACGCCGAACCCTGGAGGTTGTCGCATTGTCGCACACGAGTGTTGACCTTGTCTACCAGCCTAAGCCCTAGAACCCTTGAGCCCTCAACCTGCGAAGGTATCCTTGGACCAACCTCCCGATCTCGGACATCCTCAAAGTGGGCCCAACCTTCGTCACGAACTTCCAGAGTGGGCTCAGGCCGTCACCCTGTTCGTTACGGGGCTTAGTGTTGCTTAGGGGTTGGGTGGGAGTTAGACGAACCCAAAACCCGAAACCCCAACCCAAAGAAAGGTGTTGAGAGTTCCGGGGCTTGAGCGTGTAGGGTTGAAGGTTCAAGGGTTTTGGGTTCAAGGATGTTGAGGGTTTACGGTATAATGTTAGGCACAGTGCTAGTGTGCTACATCTAGCTTTTAGTTTCCATTTACTCCGAGGCACGCATAACAGAGATAGCGTGGGTCACTTGCAAAACTGTGTGAAGACCAGTCTCTTTTGTCATCTTCCCTTCTCAAGACACTAAAGATTTTCGCAAGCCCTGTGCCACATTCCTGTCGAAAACGCTGCGGAACCTTGCATCAACCCCAGCCGAGAGGCATGCCATCCGTACAAGCAAAATGATTCTTCTTGAGCCCTGAATCTATAACCCGCAACATGAGACATGAAACCCCCTTGAAAGCCCTAAACCCTAAACCATAAGCCCTCAACCCTAAACACTACACCCTGAAAGCCCTAAGCCGCTCTTCCCTGGCGAGGCAGTCCTTCACCAGCAGAGGCCTCTTGCCAGGGGAGCCGGATGAAGTGGCCTTAGCATCCTTCCTCATCCCGGCGGAGGCCGGAGATTGGATGAGAGACGGTGCTGAGAGTCTAGGGCTTTGGGTTTTAGGGTTTTTGAGGGCCAAGCCCTCCACCACGATTGCTAAGCTTCCAACCCTTGCCCCTTAAGCCCCTAAGCCCCCGAACCTTAAAGCCTACGCCTCTTGAGCTACAGAAGCTGCCGAGGCCGCAGGGTCCAAGCAGCCGAGGGCCGTCCTCGAGCGCCACGGCGGCGTGCCGCCGGGCTGCCTGGGCGGCTGCCTCAGGGCTCAGTGTTCTAGGGGGGTTTGGGTTCCTTTCAGCAAGGGCGGGATGCTGCAGCCCCTCTACTGTAGGGGCGCGGGGTGTTCTCCTAGGAGGACGAATCAGAAGGGCTTTGTGAGTGGGGCGTGGAGAGACTTTGGACATTCTAATTCCAAGGAAAGTTCATAAAGCCTAGAGACGACCCTAAACCCTGTAGACTCACAATTCCCAAACTTACACCCCCTGAACCCTACACCTGTACTTGCAAGCCTCCTGCACAAGCCGACACAGGTGGCAAGCGCGCGCTGGCTCTCCATCTCCAGCGCTTGCCACCGGACTCCACAGGGAGGAGCTGTTTATGATGTGGGGTTTTCCGAACATAGGGGGTGCCCCTTATACACCCCCAAATACTATACAATCAGACAAAAAAAGTTACCTCCATTTTCGGAGGCAAGCCAGCCTTCGATCGTAGCAACGGTTGCTTGTATGGTGCCCTGAGTCGAACGACCCCCTCCAAGCGTCGCTTCCAAAACGCCAGAACTTGAGGGTTTAGGGATGTTTCGGGTCTAGGCCAGTGTGCAGCAAGGAAGAGAGAGGCGCTTGCACCCATGACCTTCCTGAGCCCAGAGGCGCGGGCTTTGGACGCTTCTGCCCCAGGGACCTGATTCCTCAACCCAGTCCTTTGAAAGATGCACCCTCCACCCGTTGCCCAAAAGACCGCAGGAGTTCTTTTGCAAGGGCTTGTAGTCGTAGGCAGCCAGAACATCCCGTCCGACCTACAGCTGCAAAGATGCAATCCCTGTACGGTCCATGGCAGGCCCTAAACGCTGCCATCCTGGACCTTAGAACATCAAACCCCCTTAAACCCGAAACCCCCTTCTCCACAAACCCACGACCCTACACCTGTACACCCTACAGCCCGGAACTGTGCGGCCAGAGGCCCTGCGGAAGTCTCTGGAGCCGCGGGCTGCCAAGCTGGCAACAGAGTTCTTCGAAGAGAGGATTTCGTAGTTCTTACGGAGTTCAAGAGGCCTACGGCCAAGTTTGGGGGCAGTTATGACTGCGCCGGATAACCCAGCTTCGCACTTCAAAGTGGGGGAGCGGTTTAGAGTGGGTTCGCGGGCTTCTGTTTGCCCGCGCTGTACTTGCACCCCACTCCCTCAACCCTGGTAGAAAAGAAGCAATCCGAGCCTGCCAACCGCAAAGGCACTAAGCCCCGAAGCCTGAAGCAAAAGTCTAAGCCCCCCAGCCCCTCTCCTTCCTTCATCGCCTTCGGCCTTTTGGAGGTTCGCTTTGCCGGGATTGTGCAGGGCGTGGTCTCCGAGGTGCACAGAAGGGTCAAGGGTTCTTGGGAGGAGGTGCGTTTGGGATGGTTGAGGTGAGAGATGTAGTTCTTGAGGGGCTTGCTACTTAGGTTGTGGGCTCAGGGTGAGGTTGTGATTGTAAAGATGGTGCTGGGTGGCGGCACGAGTTTGAGGGTCTGGCTTTTGCAGGTTGTCTTCAGCTTTTCTTGAGGGTTCGGGCTCAGTAGTTTAACGCTCCAGGGGTTTGGGGATTGGTGTTTGGGTCTTGTCAAGATTGGCAGCATGACGACTAGGTGTGCCAGAAGGTCTGGAGGACGCAACACCAAAGCTGTGTCCCTCATGCGTACCCTGCGTGGTCCTGCAAGGCCCGTGCAGATGGGCTGTGGTTTCTGAAGCACTCCACGATGGATCGCAATGAGGGCGTGACGTGCTTCAAAGGTCGCTGCTGCTGCATCCCATGTATGTTCAAGAGGGAAGGAGGAAGTTCGCATAGTCTTGTGTGTTAGGGCCCGAAAGACAGTGAATTATACCCTCCAAATCTGCAAGGGAAGTTCTGGTGTGGCTCGTAGCGTTTCATTCTTCGCTCCACGCGGTAAGTCTATGTCCCTGAAGCCCTATAGAATCCCCCTCCACAAAAGAGCCCATCGCCCAAACCCAAAGACCCTACGCCCCAAACCCCCTCGAAGCCCTGAGCCCCCCTTTGAAGCCTCTGAAGCCGAGGAGCCCGGGAGCTGCTCAAGGCGTGGGACAAGATGAAGAGGAAGGAGCGGAGTCGCTACGTGGCACAGGCCAGCCTCTTTGGCGGTGTTTGAGGGATTCTCTGTGGGCTGAAAGGGGGCGTCATGGGAATTTCTTTGAGGTATCAAGGCTTGGTCAAACCTTGCGCCCCGGACCTCAAGCCCGAAACTGCCCAAGTTTCTGAACCTCCAATCTTAGCGGTTGAAGGGGCAGGGTTTAGGGTTTGTTCTTCCAATGGCTGCGCATGTGCTGCCTTCGCTTCTGCGCAGTCTCCCTGGGCCATCCAGGGCTTAGGAACCGTGCGCCCGCATCCACAAGCCCTCGACTGATGGCAGGCGGAGGTGCAGCGTCCCCTGCTGATGGAAGGGCGGAAGATGGTCGTCCGCGCGTACGTGCCCGCGAGTCTTCAGGTTGAGGGTTGTTCTAAGCTAGGGCCCACATGGATTCTCGATAGATACTGCACGGTATTCCTTGTAAGGTATTTACAGGCAGCCTGGCTTGGAGCAGCCCCCAATCGGGCTGATTAGGATCTAGGGTTGTTGCGCAGGTGTTGGGGGTTTGGGCATTGGCAACGCCTTGAAGCCTGAAATCCACTTCAAACCCCGAGCTCCAGACAGCCCACATCTCCCACAACCGAGCTTGCTTTCCCGATCCTAAAGCCCCGCTAAGGCCCCAAAGCCGTAGACCCCGCACCTCTGACTCTAAGCCCTCAGCGCTAGACCGAACAACTGGACCATAAAGCCCTTCCGAAGCAAAGATGAACTCAGGTAGGACCCAACAAGGCCTTCCTAAAGTATTCCTTGAAACCCTAAACTGCCCTGAACCTTCTCTGTCTTTGTTACACGTGAAAAGCCCATGCACGTGCACCCAACAGGGCTTCGGTGCCGGCTCAAGCCCAAAGAATGCAACCTGAACCGCGTAAACAGACTCTAAGCAAACCTTAAAGCCTAAATCCGCCAAGGCCCCAAACCTTTCAAAACCCTAAGAAGCCCCTAGGTGATTACGCTTCCCGGCGGGCGCTGCTTCATGAATCGCGAGCTGCTCCTAAAGGGTCGCCCTGCTCGAAGGGCTAAGGGGCAGGGGTGTTTTGGGTTTTAGGGTCTTGAAGGGTTTTGGAGGTTGTGAGGTTTGTCAAGGTTTCTCAAAGGGTTCTTAGGTTGTTGAGGGGGTGGGTCTTGAAGGTATTTTCAGTGCAAGAAAACATTCAAGGACTTTAAGGCACAATTCTGAAGGGTCTGTGTTGCGCAGAACCACCTTCATGTTTCAAGGCTGTTTTGGGTTTGAGGGTTTGGGGTTCTGGGGGTGTTTAAACGGCTGATGCACTGGAAGATGGTCTCATCTTGGGATGTTCACCCTTATACTAGCAGTCTATTTAATAGGGATTATAATGGGGGGTACATGGGGGCACCATAGTCCCTGTCAGAGACTGCTAGCATAAGGGCAGGGGAACATCCCAAGTCTCATCCAGAAGCGGCCAGGTCACCCAATGTCCTACGACCCAGCCGATCCGGACCCGCTTCGGCACGTCATCTCGTGCGTCAAGATCCTTGGCCCTGGACATTCCCCAAAGTCTCTTTAATGCTTGACTTCTCAAACCAAAATAAGTAAAGCCTCAGGCCCTAAGCCTTAACCTCTTCTCGTCCCCCACCCCAGTGTCCTTCAGACAAGCACCTCTATTTCTTAGCGCCACGGGGTTTAGGTTTTTTTTGGTTTGGGTTCCAAGGTACGACGGCGTCGTGTCGATGCGCGGTACCTCGTGGACGCACTACGAGAAGGCGCCAGACCTCATGGTCAGGTCGCCTAAAAAAAGACCGAACTCCAGGACCCGAAATATTAGTCCTCGAACCCCAAACCGTAAAGGGTTCAAGGTTTAGGCCTTCCTAAAAAGATACATGGTGTGGCATATGTCAGGATGGATGATACCCGATTTCTCAATTTGGGGATTTCTTTTACAGGATGGCTGCAAGGGCCTGACCACCCTTCAGCTCCAAAAGCCGCAGATGCAAGGTGTGGCCGAAGCTGGCGAAGATGATGACGACGGTGCTGGGCCACCTGGAGGGAGCGGGGGCGGTGCCCTTTGCGCTGCGGGACGACACCATGATAGACCTGCTCTGCCACCGCGTGGTGCAGAAGTGTCAGGACTGATCTGAAGCCAAAAGCACGCAAGCCTGGATGTTGCAAAAGCTATCAAAAGCTCAGTCCACACGTGCGAAAGCTGTCGCGAACTTGCTGGAGGGGCCTGGCGACTACCATAAGCCCGGAATCTTGCAATCTTGAAACCTAGAACAACGGCGGCTGATGGTTCAATTTTCGTGTTGTGGCCAGGACGTCCTTGACAGGATGCGCTGGGGCCGCCAAGCGGGAGCGCTCTTGTACAACTTCATGGGGGACGCGCCCTCAGCGCCGATCAGGGACTCTCAGCCCCAATCCCATACAACCGTAACGTCCAGACTAGCCGAGGCCGATATCATCGTGGATGAGGACCATTTTCTGTCGACAAGAAATATAGCGGAAGAAGGCTGTTTTTGTTTTTAGCGTGTCCGAAGTCCCCCACCCTCAAAGCCCTACCCCTAGGCGGTAAGCATTTCCTTCTACTGGCAGTCTTAGATTCTTAGATTCTTCGGGTTCCATTCTGTCATAGCAATACAGCCCTTACAAAAGCCCATACGAACCTAAATAGCCCTCCCCTGCCCTGCCAGGATCTCCGTCCCTGGCTCATTGAGCTGAACCCGGGCCCCGCCATGGGCTTCGATCAGCGCGCGGCTCGCCGCGCTTGGGTGGGGCGTCTTCGGGCTTGTGGGCTCAGGGTTTGGGGCGAAGGTTTGTTTGGGGTTTGTGGTTTGTTTGGAGTCCTGGGGTTTGGGTTTGGGGGTTCGGGTCTAGCTAGGGTGTCGGGGTTCAGGCGACAGCTCAGTGCCCTTGAGCCCTAAGCCTGAGTCAGATTTTGGGGGGTTTCGGTAGGTTCAATCCCGCGGGCTGGTGCTCCCACAAGGACCCGCAAGCGACGCAACTCCGCGCCGAAGTGATGGAGGACCCGGGCCCCAAACTCCAAACTCCAAACCCCAAAACCCCCTTAACTCCCCTTCGGCAGGACCTGTGTGAGTTGCTCCTGGACCCTCTGCTACGCAGCGTGCAGGTGGCCACGAAGAGCAAGGACTCAGGGTTGATGGTTCAGGGTCTCGGGTTGCGAAGGTTGACGCTCTTGCCTCCGCAAACTCAAAGGGAGCTCCATGTGCTTGGCGCCTGTGCAGGAGGAGCGCGCGAGGCCAGACAAGGGGGGCTAGCGAGGTACCTTCAACCCCAAGACCGGAAGCCTCCCAAAACCCTGAACCCTCCTACGTCCCCCACAGCCTACAGCCCCAAACCCTGGATTTCGAGTTTGTACCCTTTTCTTCTCCGCTCCAACCGCGCAGGTGGAGCTCTCTTCGCCTCGTGGCAGCAGAGATTCCCGGACATCAGGGTTCTTCTGGTTTAAGGCTAAGGTTTCACGGTTTCGGGTTGAAGGTGAGGTCTAGCACTCTTGGGGCTTTTGAGGAGTTCAGGGAGCAGGGTGATGCCCGTCCTCAGTCAGATGAGCTCTGTGAACGCCGCTCTCATGTTCTGAGCCCGGACACGAAGCTGGACCCTCAACCCTAAACAATGCAAGCCTACAAGCTCATAAAAACCTTTTGATACCGATACGCTTATGCGTGCGCCCTTACTTATGTAGATATCTTATATATATATATATATGTATAATAGTAATAAGAAAATAATAATAAGAAATACTAGTAAGAATAAGAATCAGAATAAATATAGTAGTAGTAGTAACAATAACAATAACAATAACAAAAACAACAATAACAATAATAATAACAATAACAATAATAATAACAATACTAATAACATTAATAATAGTAACAATAATAATAATAAAAATATTAATAATACAATATATATGTATATATCATATGTGTATAAGCCCGTCTTAGCCCTCGGAAGTCCCCTTCTAAGCCCTGAGCCGAGGCAAGGTGCCCACGAGTACGTCCAAGTCGGAGCAGCGCGGGTTCGTCGAGATCTTCTGAGTGGCCAAGCCGCCGGTTCTGACCTGCGAAGCCCCGGAAAAAAGAGGTTTCTGAGGGCTTTTTGTTGTTTATTTTTTTGTTGGGGTGTGTTTGGGGTGTGGGTTTTTTTGTTGGGTTGCGGATTTGGGGTGGGGTGTTGTGGCCTTCGGGCTTTAACGCCAAGCATGTCAACATCCCTCAACTAGCTTCAAGGCCTAAACCCGCAGGGTTGGGGCTTGGAGCCTCAGCCGTAGAGTGACCTCAAACCTCAAAACCGCAAGTTCTTCAACATGTATCCCAAAATCCCGAAACCCCTGCCCTAGAACTGAATGCCTTTCAACCCCTTACTGCAGCCCTCGAGGCCAATCAAATGCATGGCATGCCCGAACTTCGAGAGCCCCAACCGGGAGGCGTGGGGTCTCGACGGGCTCTGCCCTAACCCTTCCGGTGTGTTCGGGTGTTCGGGTTTCGGGCTTCTGGGTGTCTTTGTGCGGGTGGATGAGGCTACGGGGTTTGTTGAGTTTTGGGGATTGGAGGGAACCAGGCGTTTTCTGGAGCGGCTCCATGTGCAAACCCTCCGAAGTTCCGCAATAGAAGTTCCGCAAGGAGCACCCTCGCTTAGCACAGAGTCTGAGTGGGTTCTGTCTTCTCGGGCTAGGTTCAAGGTTGCGGGTTGAAGCTTGCGGGCTTAAGCTCTCCTCTGGCTGAGTCTTGGGCCGCCGTTTCTTCAGTTGCCTCGTACAGCAGGGTAGAGCCAGTCCTCCAGCAAGTAAAGCCGTCTGCTGGGAGGCCTATCGGGCGCATTGTGCCACGCCGTGGCACCAGTGCTTCCGCCACCATTGCTTCTAAAATTCTGACAGGGTCATTCCCGGCCCGAGTGGTAGGCGGCAGGCTTCATAGGGGCTTGGTTCTACATAAATCGGGTTTTGGGTTGAGGAGTGGGTTTTGTAGGAAGCTGCTCTCCGTGTGTTGCTCGCGCAACCTTGGGCCTAGGATCATGGGGCCTTCAATCCCAAACCCTAAAGGCTCTGCTGCATGTTCGAACAACCCCCGCGCGAAGGCACAACACAACGCAGCGGATGATGGGGAGGCAGAGCTGTTGTTGCGACACAGAAGGAACACGACGGCATGCCTTTTGGCTCACGACGGTGTACTGTATGGTAAGACATGGTAAGACTCTGTACTTGCCTGATTTCCGTGCCTCTGATTGCATAGAATCCTAGCGACAGGAGCAACCCGTTGATGTGAGTGATGACCCGGTCACCAAATGGATCCTGCAGAAGAACCTTGTATTGCGTGGTTTCGAAGCTTTTCGCATGAAACTTGAATCTTAGGAATGTAACCCTGGTACCTGAAAAGAAGCTATACTAGCAACCCGCGACGGGCCAAAAAGTGTGAATGTGCCGGGTTCAGGCCCACCCTCACCGAAGAGGAGTATGCGGAGCAGTGCCTGCAGCCCAGCCGGCCGAATCCATAGTTGGGATGCTGTTCAGCACCTTAAATGACGTCTGACATTCCCTTTGGAGATTGAACTGAAGCCCAAAAGCCTTTGTCCATTTTATGTGGCCTCCTATGTCTTTTTCCCTAAGCCCTCATGCCATGCAGCCCACCCTCCGGAACGGTCTGGGTTTAGAAGGTTTCTTCTGGAAAATCCTTGAAATCCCGGACCCCAAATCCGTCACCCAGAGACCCCCACATGGGTAACATATGGGGGTTTCCAAAATTAGGAGTACCTTGTTGGGGTCCTTAGTAGAAGGGATCCTGCCACTTGGGGGCATTTTTTTTTTGCGAGTCACCTGTTCTCGTAAGACCCCTTGTAGGCATTTATACCCCACACAAGAATACAAGGGACCCCCAAGAAGGGTACCCCCCTACTTCGGAAACCGCCATATGGGTCCAATGACTTTTCTCCAGTTGCGCCGCCTCCCGAAGCCGCCGAGCCACCGGTGTGGCGGCACAGCTTCCGGGGTGCAAGGGTTTCCGGGTTTTGGGTTGGGATGTTCCCAACAGTCCTTAATAGGGATCATAACAGGGGGTACTATCATCCCGGTTAGTTTCAGGGGTTTTGATACCCGGTTGCGCCAAATAAGCATCATAGAATCTGCTTGAGCCGAGGCTTCTTTCTGCTTTTCTTTGAAAGGGGGGCTGGTGCATTTGCAGGATGAGGGCTTGTCAAGGTCTCAGGATCTACGAACTTCTGTCTGATGGCCCCTGCGGATTTGAACCTGATGGCCACGGCAGAGATTTACGGGTTCAGCTTTTGCGTTCACTGTCATGGTGAGTTGGTTCAGCTCGCGGACTACGAAAATCCACCGAAACCCCAAGCTCCTGAACCCCTCGATCCCACATGCTCGAAGATATGCCCCCCTCTTCACACAGTTTACAGAGTGCCGACAGTCGCAAGCCCGGGGCTCAGGCCGAGAAAGACCCCGCGCCGGAGCAGCCTCAGGATGCGGGGGAGTGGGATGGTTCATGGGCGTAGGATTTGGGGGGGTTTGTGGCTTGGTTTGGGGTTCAGGATGGAGGGCTCGGGGTTGTTTAGGGTGAGAGCCAACGCGTGCTTCAGCAGGCTGGCTCGGCGGAGGCCGACCTGGTCTCTGTGTGCATAGTCCGCGTCCCAGCGCCTCTGCGCGAGCCCGCTGGCGTTTTTTTACCACAACTCAGAACTCATCTGAAGCTTGTGATCTCGGTTGAGCCTCTGGTGGTCAGGTCTTCCGCCACAAAGATGAGAAATGGAGCCACATCTTCAAGATTCCAAGAGGCGGACCGGGCTTAATAGCAGTCCTCTTGACTTTTCTCCCAGGCCGTGTGGGCCAGTGCTAATTGGCGGCGGCAAGGGGTCTTAAACTTCGAGTTCCCAAGTCCAACCGAGCACCTAGCTGCTCGAGTCCATAGGACTTCCATGGACTCCGGGCATCATCATGGCGCCCCCAAACGGCTGTCCTCCTTAGTTAGCCTTACGCCCTGAACCCCAAACCTTAATCCAAAACCCTGAACTAGACCCTGGATGGCAGGCGCCAGCGTCATGGACCTGAAGAAGGCGATGGCCCGCGCCTCATCCGGGGGCCGCCAGGTTCTGGAACCATGCGGGTGTTAAATCCCCAAGCCCTGAGTCCCAAGCCCTAAGTCCCAAGCCCGAAGCCTAAGCCCCTTTCCCTGAACTTCCCTACTTGGAGGATGGTACTTAGTATCCCAATCATATCCCACTTGCAACCCCATTAGGGCACCTAAGGGGCTGACAAGTGAACCTCCAAGTATGGCTCAGCGCCTGAAGCCCCAAGCCCTGTCAGGTCAAGCCGACCAGCCCCGAGGATGACGCCCGGAACCCAGAGAGGTTGCGAAGGCTGGTTGTCGGGCTTAGGGTTTAGGGTTTAGGGTTTAGGGTGTCGGGCTCAGGGATTAGGCCATGGGGGGGTAAGGTTCAGCATACATTTTGCGGGTTTAGTCTTAAGGCGTAGTTTCTGTGTCTCAGAGTTTTGGGCTTTGCTTGTGTTTTGGGCCTTTCCAGGGCTCCGTGGAGGACGCGTACTCCCTTCAGGAAGCCGAGAATGTGTAACAAGTATGCCTCCGGTCCATAAGGCTGAGGTCCATTAAGCTCCCAATCTTTGAGAGGTCGCCTACATGTCCCGAACCTGAAGTCTGAAGCCCAAAACCCCGAACCCTGAACCCCAGATGTTTACATGAGCTTGCAAACGTAGGTTCCGAGCCCTAAGCCGGTTTATGCTTAACCCCAGCCCTTAAAATTTTGTGCCCTAAGCGCAGACTCCGGCTCTCAGGTGCTCGCCTTCAGCTTGAAGAGAGGCCGCCAATAGGGTTCTAAGATTTGCCAGGATGACGGCCTTAGCCCAGCACCTCAACACCCTCCCCTCCCCCAAAGCCATGAAACCAAAAGGTCCTTTTAGAGCTGGATGCCTTACACGCGCCCCAATTGTAAGACATAGACCCAGCAGCCGCCAAGCCCCAAATCCGATTGGATGTAGAACAGCCCCTCCAAATGAGGGGGACGAAGCTGCAGGCATGATCAGGCCCTCGCACTTCGACACGCTGGACAGCGCCCAGGGCCCGGGATTTTCGGGCTCGGGATGGGCATGTAGGGTCCAGGCTTTCAGGGGTTCGGACTCCAAGCCCTGACAAACATCACCTGTGAGGAACTTAAGGTTTTGGCCAAGATTAGGTCATTGTCCAGCTATGATTTCAGCCGCAAACCCCAGCCCATGTCAGCCGTCGCCAAGGACGATACTTTTGATTTCGCCTACATTGGCCCCGAGGCGGAACCTAGGGCATCTGGGGTGAAGCATTTTGGGCTTCCGGGGGTCTGTCGTTTTGTTCGGACGTGTCGAAGCTTGAAGCAGCTCCAGCACGCGAAGCCCAAGTCCCTAAGACCCTAATTCCCGCTTCGTTGAACAAGCAGGCAGGGTGGCACAACTGTTCAGCCTCCGTGGCCGTTCCGGCTTTAGGGTTGGCCCAGCTTCATGATTTAGGGGGCCTTCGGGGCCGCTGTTGCCGCAGCGCGACATGGAGGATGGGGTTCGCGCCCCCTTCATGCTCGAGGATGCTGAAGCGCAACGGGCGCGGCGCTGTCCGCAGCTGCCGTTGCGCCAGGCCTGGTTTCGGCTGGTTGTGTTGTTTTTTCAGGCGATTTGGGGCTTTTTTTTCCGGTTGGATTATGTGGGTGCATGTTTCATAGAGTTCTGAAAGCCCAAACCCTAGGATTGAGGGCCATTTCTCGCCAAGTGGCGTTGCAAGCAACGTCCCGAAACCCACACTACTAGCACACCGGCTAGCTAAGCCCCCCCAAATCCTTGAACCCGAAGCAGCCCTAGGCTCCTGAGCCCACGATCCTCAACTCTCGAAGGTGGTCGGGGGCTGCCTCCTGTTGATGCTCGGCCTCCTCATGGGCAGGGCCGTGAGCGCCGAGAGCAGAGGGGCGGAAGGCGTGAGCTTTCAAGGGTTTCAGGCCTTTGATTTGAGCTCGTCATCCGAAACCCCGAGCCACAAACCCCACAATCCCAAAACCCCTAAATCTTAATGGCCTCTGGCTTGAAGCTAATCCTCAACGCTACAAGCCCGAAAACCCCCGCAAACCATTGAGCCCGTACTCAGCAGCCCCGAGCCAAAGATCAGGACACTCCAGACGAGGTCCAAAACCCTGCGCTCTGCGCCCAATACATCCTTATTCCCTCAACCCCACCCTAAACCCCTGAAACCCCAAGCCCCTGTGTCGAGGTTGAGTAGTTGGAGGGTTTGAAGCCCAGTTTCTCCAGGCAAGCCTGAAACCTCGGTCGGCTCCGCAGCTCACTTCGAAGGCTCCCGGCCCTCCCTACGCGCCCAGCTGGCTCCTGCAGTTGCCAACGTGTGGCTTTGCCTGCTACAAGATGGCACTTTTCAACCCCTAAACTCAACTTCTAAGCGATAAAGGTCTCTTGCTCGACTGCTTGCTGATAAGATCTGACAAAGACATTCTTTGTTGGGACGCTTGCTCGCCAGGGCATAACTTGCGGGCTTTCTTAAGCCATGTGGCGCTGCGGTGTAAGACTGGGAGCCCACGCCTGGTAAGAAGAGGTTATAACTCACAACCGTTTATGCCTATGGTGACCCTACCCAGTTAAATCTTCCCATGAGCCTCCAAGTAGGGCAAAGGTTGCGGGCTTTCTTTTTCTTTTGAGACCTTGGGCTCACGTAAAGTTGCAAGGTCCCCCCTTTTGAAATCTGCAGGTACTTCTAAGAAGACCTTACTGCCAGTCGCGAGTGGGACGGAACTTGGGTTGCTGACCTCGGGCCTCGACAGCTTCCATTATGGTTTGGCAGGGTGTAGGGCTTCGGTAACTTCGGTACGGGCCCGTTCTTTAGGAGCTCCAGACTCTGGCGAACTTCAATTTTTGCGGTGCTCGTCTGTGGGGTTTGTGGCTCACTGGGACACTTGTGAAAAAAGCTGTAAGCCTGAAATCACCACACTACCTGTTGGGAACCGAGGTCTGCGGCCCTGCAAGAGATGCAGAAGAGCATGGGCCGGCGCCTCGGCAGACTGTCACCGGTCCCGGTGGATCTGATGGCCTTTGCTCTTGTTTGATCCTTGCTTTGGGAGTCCCATCTCCCCATGGTGCTATGAGCGTGATCTGCACAGGCTCAGTCTCGAGCTGAACTTCAGCCGGACGCGCGCTCCCGCTGCCACCGCCTCTTCCGAAACTTACGACTATTTCCCCGTCTGCAGCACACCACGACCTATTTCTGATCATGGACAGGCGCCGTTCGGCTAGATTTCATCCAGACAGCTTTATGCTTGAGATCTCGTGCATGAGCATCCCGTTTTGAGAACCAAGGTCTTGCTCACCTCCTGGCTGTGCACGTGGTGACGTGGACTTAGACACGAAGTGCTTTCCCCTTGCTTGCCGAAGAACTTGCAGAAGCAATCAGAGCACAGCAGCAAATGGAGAATATTCGGATTCTCGGCAGAATGCCGTTGCCTGCTCTGACGATTTCACTGGCCATGCGGGTGACGAGCGACGGGTAGTCTCGACCTCATTGGAGTGGACTGCTTCGTCCAGCCACTACATGTCCGTGGACCTCTGGGGAGGCGGCGGTGGTGGCACAGGCTCTGCTGTCAAGGAGCAAGAAGAAGCGGGAATCATCGAGGTGACAGTGAACTTCAGGCCGAGTAGTTTTGGGTCCGCAAGCAGAATATACCACCCAAATGGGTTGTACTTCCGTGATGAAGACAGTGCTGGGAATGTCAGGTATGTTCGCTCAGACGATGTATACCATCTGAGCCGTCAGGAAGACTGTCGTGTCTCTCCTCAAAAGGCAGCGTTTCCATGTTGGAAACTCGCTCTGAACAGTGAATACTTCCACGTAACTCCGCTGGCAATGCTCGAATGGCCTAGTGATGAGCTCCCACTTGGAGATCGCACCTGGGTGATGATGGACACACCCGCTGGTCAGCCCTTTGCTCAGCCGTTTCAGGACGTTACCAACATAAGCTTGAAGTCTGCCAGAAAATCCTGCGGAATTTGTGGCGGTTCGGGAGGGGCTGGTGCCCATGTCCGCGCTCTGGTCAAGGTGAAGGCGGGCCGCACCTACCGCATCGAAGCCGGCCAAGGCGGGAAGGGCAGCTCTGGAGGCCGCAGCGCCTCGAACGGCCAGAGCAGCCGGATGCTGGAGATGCAGGCCTCAGGCGAGTGGAGCATTTTGGCAGAGGCTGGCGGAGGTTTTGGTGCTGGATCGATGGAGGGCCGCTTGAAGTTCTCCCCAGGTGGTCGAGGCGGCACAGCGCCGAAGTTGGACTCGCACGTCTTCGCGCGCCCGGGCCACCCAGGATGGTCGTCGAGGGCGAGCCTGCTGACCGAGGACACCATCTTGTTCCCCATGGCCATGCTACCAGCATTAAGATCATCAGGCCGCCCTGGCACCACTTACTATGCAGCAAGACGTGATGTGCCACCCAAAGGACAACTTCCTCAGAGGCTGTTTCCTCCGGGGGTTTCCGTAACATGCACGCAGGAGACTGAAGACAATGATTACGCTAAATACCCCTTCCGGAAGGCGAAGTACCCACCGCTGTGCAGTGCCACGAATGCGCGATATCCCGCGGAGTTCGGCGAGTTCTTCGACTTCTTCCTCACCTGCGACGTAAACTGTGAGGGCACGCGGTGGCCTGTAGTCCCCACTGCCGGGCAGGGGTCGGTGGGCGTGGGCCTGACCGCCCAGACACGGAGTGGTTGGGGTGGGACCGGCAGCTGCCCGCAAATACAACCGGGCTCCAAAGTCGAGCTTCGGAGTATGGGCGGCGAGGATGGGCACAACGGTTCGGTCATCTTGCGCCGGTGCAAGAGGGAGGGAGCGTACACCTTGGCACTGCAACGCTGCCAGGGCAGCGATACTTGGACTGTCCACGGCCTTTGGCCGAGGGGTGTGCGAAACTGCAAAGTCACAAAAATTTGGAGTCATCCACCCTGTCCGCCTTGAAGCCGCAGCTGTCGACACAGTGGCCCTCTTGTCTGCCTCACATCACGTCAGAAGCCTTCTGGGAGCACGAGTGGCAGAAGCACGGCACCTGCTTCGGCAGCAGCCCGGCCCAGTACTTCGAGCTCACGCTGCGACTACTCGAACAGCACTCCCGCGCCTGTGCCCGCTTCTCTTCTCGGGAGTGCAGGCTCTGCCTCACGGAAGACTTCGAGCTGTGTGAGCCGGATGCCTGAGTTTTGGCCCGCAGCTCTGGGGGAGTCTTTTCTTGCTGGAACGTGGAAGGAGCAGGCAAAGATACGGACAGCGCTCGGACAAATGCCACAACTTGGTGCGAGGGAGCCGAGAGGCTTCGCGAGCTGGAGCTGGTCGTGGGCTGCTGGGAATTCAAGCGTCCGCCCGCGAACTGATGCTCACCCTTGAGTGATCCCAACCTGTCCTCGTCCTGTCACAATCCCCACAAAGGTAATCCCAAACTATGTCCCTTCTCGGGGTTGAACAAGCGCTGACACCTCGAGCCACAACTTTTACAACCAAGACTTCAATGCCCGCATGCAGCAGCCCTCACAATCTAGGATTTTGAGCCTAAATCCCGCACCCATCCCAAACGATCCCCAAGCATCCCAAAACCGAGGGCCCTAAGCCCCGCAAGCCTCGCACTTTTACAGGAAGGGAAGTCCTTACTGGAGCGCGCCGGGCGCTCAGCCAATCATCAATTGTCTCGGGGGCGTGGTGCCCTAAACCATGAACCCAGGCCCTCAACAGAAAGCCTAAAGCCTAAACCAAAACGTAGACTTTTGGGTTGCGGGCTCAATGGCTGAGGACGAGCGTCGGCGTGCTGAGGCAAGGGGGCGCGCTTGACTTCGAAGCCAATCCCAAGACCCAAATAGACCGAGAACTCTCGAAAACTCTCCCTCAAAGCCTTGTTTGATGAAGCCAGCCATGAGCCGTAAGCCCTACAGGAATGACTGAGCATTGAGCCCGATGCCAGGCTTGACGCTCCTGAGGGTTCCAGAGACGGTCGGAGCTGAATGCCGGCTCCCATTCCTTTCGAACCCCCCTCGCCCCCACTGCAACGCGCAACGCACCAAAAAACTGCCCTCAAATCCTGAAAAGCTCCTATACCCCACAGGCAACCTCAGGCCGACCCCTTGCACTCTGAACCCTGGACCCTAAAGCCTTGAAGCATAGCGAGGATTCAACCCCTGCGGAGCACAAACCTTGAAAGTGGGCGTGAGCCGCCCTTGAGATTTTTTTCGTGCGGGCTCCTGCCAAGGAGCCCACGGGCACCCGAAGCTCTGAAGCTTTAAGCCCCGTCTCAAGTCCCATAATCCTAAGCCTGAACCCTAGACCCCTAAACCCCTAAACCCCTGAATTCGTAAACCTACCTCAAATCTGAATCCCAAAACCCCTAATCTCATAAGCCTACAGACCCCCGGAGACCAAGGACAACCCCTTCTTTTGCCCCGCCGGACCTCTGCTTTGCACCCTCGGCCCTCAAAGGAGCTTCCGAGGTGCAGCAGCCGGTCCAACAAGAAAAGAGCGGGTCTAAGGATTTTAGGTCTTTGGGGTTGGGGGTTTTGGGTTTTAGGGTTTGGGTTTGGGGGTTTTGGTGCTTTTGGGGTTTGGGGTTTTGGTGCTTTTGGGGTTTTGGGGTTCGGGGGTGGGGGGGCGTGTTTAGGGTTCGGGGCTTGGGGTTTAGGGTTTCAGGGGTCTAGGGCTTGCCCACAGTTCTTTGAGGTCATGATGTCCCCTTATGGAGGTGCCTACTTTAAGAAGCGGATGAAACTTCTGGGGCACCCCAAAAGGGGGACCACAATGTAGAGAACTGCAAGGCTCTGGGGTGGCAGGTTTCAGCTTGGGGGTGAACCCTCACTCCTTCGCCCTTGACTCCCTCCATCCCCTCAGGGAACAATTTTAGGGCCAGTTTGCGCGGAACCGTGCACCCTGCAACTGCCTGGCCCGCGCAGCTTCTTTCAAGTATCAAGCAGGTTTTGGGGAGACGTGGGGAGGTGCGGAGGATGTGCAGAGCGCCCCTTTCCTTCAGATGTTTTTTGGCAAGCCCAAGAGGTCTTAGACGGTGAAGAGGCTTTAACGTCTCGGGTGGGAGCTTGGGGTTTGGGGCTTAAGGGTTTCGGGGCCCTCTTTTGTAGGACAGGTAGCTGACAGGCTGCGTCATGACCACTTTTGAACGCCTCTTTGGGACGGAGCCGGCAGCCCGCCAAGGTCGGCATCCCGCACCCGCTACCTCTGCAAGCTTCAGACAAACCTGAAGCCCTTAGAAGCGCAAAGTGATCACACGAACTACCTGGCCCCATCCCCTATGACAGCACCATTCCCTCTTCCCAACCGCATGACACCTACGAACTCTCAAATGCCCACTGACTAAGATGGCATGTTTCTCTACGACTAGGGCCTATCAGTAGGATAGCTCCAGCTACATCCGGTCATAGCACTACTTGGGGGGGTGGGGGTGGGGAGGTACTTAAACCCTGCATTTATCTGCCTACAAACCCCCCCCTAAGTGCTACTGGGCATGCTTGGGGATCCGGCTGTCGATAGAAGCTGTCTTGTTTTTTTGCTTTGCTTTTTTCGTGGCACAGCTTTTCAACGCTGTGAGCGGCTTTTGGGTTCTGTTATTGCACGTACTGAGGTTTCTATGACGTTTAAGTCCAATTCATTTGAAGCACCTTTCCTCCTTTTAGAAGCCGAAGGAAAGCAAGGGCATGTACTATCTTGTGTGTGATACAATTTTTGCATTGATGGAAGCACAACGAAGCGAAGGTGCCGTCCATCAAGAGAGCACGTGATATGTACAACGGGAGTGCATGAGCAACGTCCTTGATTGCGTTGAGGCTTTTGTTGCTTTGTGCTTCTATCAGATAAACTAAGGACTCTCTCTCTCTCTCTCTTTCACATACATATATACATACATATTTGCCGGTTTTCATTTACATTTTCCAAATCTATAAAGCTTGCATTGTCATTGCATTGTCCTTTTTGTTCAACTTAATGTGTCTATAGAAGTTTTCCAGGGAGCAACTGCTAGGAACATGACGAAAAAGTACGTTCCACTAAGATGAGCCTTGTTCATAGGGATCCCGTTCATCTGGGGCCTTTCAACCCGCATATTGATACTCTTTGCTCTTAGTGTATGTTCATCTTGCAATAGCTATGTTGATCTTCACAGGACCTCTGCTGCTTACTGGGCTGGAACTCGCTTCTCCCAAAACTCTGTGCTCTCCTTCGACCGGAATCCCAAACCGTGCGTCTGGGGTTCAGGCGCCCAGTCGCCTGGCAGAGACCGCCCGGCAGCAATTCTGCCGCTCCTCGGGCCTGGAATCAGGGGCTTCGGGACCAGGGTTCCACGTTTAGGCTGCAACGTTTTAAGTATAAGGCTTCAAGTGTTCAGGGTTCAGGGTTCAGGCAGACCAGAATCGGCAGAAGACACCCTCCAAGCCTTCAAGCCCCCAACTCCAAACCCCTAAGACCCTAAAGCCCCCCAAACCCTTAACTTGACCCCTAAACACCTAACTTTCCCAACCTTAAAACCGCGAGAACTCGAGGACTGGCCCCTGGGCCGACGAAGCCCCGAGTCGCCCGGCGCGGAAAAGCTGGCCGCAGGCGAAGGGCCCGGGCTCCCAGAAGCCCTGCTCTCTCAGGGGTTTGAGGAGGTGAGGTTTAGCATTACTTTGCTTTCGATGAATCATTTCTCAATGAAGTCTTCCTTGTTTTGGGGGGAGGGTTTGGCTCATTGGTGCAGGCGGTTGAGGAGTCAAGGTCCAAGCTGGATCGGGCGGGGGGGGTGCTTGGGAATGGATTTGTAGTGCATAGATAGCCCTTGAGCTTCTTGAAAAACCCAAGTGATACCGCAAAAGTCGCGCTACAGGTCTGGAAAATGGCCTCTCGAACGAGGCGCCTGCAAGCACAGCTCGCTGCATGGAGAATCTGCGTGTGTTTGGTGCTCGCTTGGAGGATTCCGCCGACAAGCTTCTGGGCACGCGGAAGAAGAGGATCCAGGCCTCGGCTCCTTTTAGACAAAAAGGGTTTAGGGTTTAGGGTTTAGGATTTAGGGTTTAGGGTTTAGGGTTTAGGGTTTAGGGTTTAGGGGTGACATTGGACATGTGTGTGGCAGTCATCCCCGCCCTGGCTTGCCAGATTGGCCAAGCTGAAAGATGCCCTACATTGTACATCCTACGGCCCTAGGCCCCCAGACTTTACAGCCCCGAAACTTCAGACACGTGACTCGAAACCCCAAGTTCCTAAACCTCCAAACCCCCTTGTATCCCTAAGACTCCAAACCTCTTTTACTCGGACCCCAAACTTCAAACCCCTGGACCTTGTGAAGTACCAGGAGCCCGGATTCACTCCCAACCTGGGCGGCGCGCTGTCTCCCCGGAGTCAGGCCCGGTTTCTACTACTTGCTTAAGAACCCCCCCCCCCACAAAAAAAAGCAGAAGTATTCTTCCTCATAAGGATAAGAAAGGGATGATTGTCTGTATGTTTACGGCAGAAGGGGGTTTGGGGGCGTAGGAGGGGTCATTGCAGCACAGGCTTGATGGGTTTTTGGGTCAAGGTCAACCCTGAAGCCTAAGCTGTAGATCCGAAAGCGAGGGTTTAGGTCAGAGCAGGTGTTACGTCGTAGGCTTTGACATTTTTGAGGTTGGATGCCTCCACCCCAAACCCACTGCCCCTAAACTATAGTTGCAACCTGAAGTAGCTCTTATGACTCTCCACCCTAGACCCTAAAGCCTATTCAGCTCCCCCCGACCTTGCCCCTACGCAATTTTGTCAGGGCTGGTCTGGAAGCGTGAGAAGTCCAAGTCCGAGGACCGCTTCGAAGTGCGGATTATTTGGGCACGGAAGGCACCTTATGTTTGGGGTTGAGGGTTTGCAAGGTCGCCACGCGTACAACACACCCAGATCAGCAACTGCAGGTGCGCCATGAATGTGTTGGCCAAAAAACATGCAAACACGTGCATGTCACAACTTTTTTGTTCGAGGCGGTTGCTGTGTGCTTTGATGACTCCTCTGCTTAGGGGCTTAGGAGCGAAGTCGCCTGGAGACGAGTTCTAAGGTTCGTACCATTAGAAACCGAGGACTCCATTCGGCGACTTGTCGGAGACGCCGGAGAAGGAGCACACTGTGATGCCGGAGGTTTTTTTTGGGGGTTTTCAATTCTTGTGCAAGCCCGAAGCCCTTGCATTCCAAAGTGCTGACCCCCCGAAGCCCTATACAGTTCACAACCAAGCCCTCAGCCCCTACAAAGCAGCTGCCCCTGACCCTCGGGGAAACGCCAGGTCCCAAGCCCTAAGCCTCAAGCCTAAAACGCCATCTCCTGAAGCCCGAAGTCCTTAAGACCCAGGAGTCCCTGAAAGCTTCAAGAGCCAGCCTTCGCGTGCTTTTCGGACATTCTTTTGTGGACGCAGCTCTTGAGCCAGGAGTGGCGACCGCTGCGGAGAAGGTATGCCCCCATCATCTCACATGATTGCATTGAAACTGTCAAGTTGTTGTATTCGTATTCTTATTGCACAGTGTGTTGTCTGATAACAAAAAAGGTTGGAATGGTGTTATAATTGCAAGAAAATGGGTCTGCATGTATTGCTGTTGTTAGTATCGTCTTCGGGGTTGAGAGCTCGGGGTTCAGGGTCGGAGTTGCCTTTGTGCTGTAAGTTAAACCCTAAATCCAAGAAACCTGGGCGCTGATCACTAAATGCCCCTAAGCCGTAAGCCCCGAACCGAGCCCTCAGCTCGAAGCCTTTCTGCAAAATCTTCAGGTCTTGTCCTTTCAAGCTCCCAAGCCTGAGACCCGAACTCTACACCCTGAACCGATTGTCTGCAGGCGCCCGTCCAACGACAATGGCACCGTGTGCGGCCCAGTTCGCCTCAGGGTATCAAACCCCACAATCCACATTCTTCCGTTCCTGCCCAGAACACGATCTTGACTTTATAGAACATGACCGATTTTTGAGGGGCATTCTGCTCCAAGGACCTACATCTCCCTAAGCCCCAGACACCGAGAACGCCCGAGGTGTCTTTGCCGCCTTGGGCGATGCCAGGTCCGGCTGTTGGGGTTCACGGTTTTGGGGGGGTTTAGGGGTTTGGTTTGCAGGGGAATCAGGATGATTTCTCTCTCATGGTGGCCGCATCATAGACAAGGATGATTACCCAGCCGATATCATATGAATTCTTCCTCAAGAATATGTAAGCATGCTCCTGCTGCAAACTCCGAACCTCCAAAAGACGTTCCGAGCTTCAGAGGCAGCGCCGCCTCGCCACGCTCGGCATCACCCCGATCGCCGCGCTCCCCACGTTCCCCGCGCTCCCCGAACGCCTCGCCGCGCTCCCCGAACGCCTCCCCGCTGGCGCTGGAGAAGGATCGGCGTGCCCCTGGGACAGGACATGTGGAGAGAGTTTCATGGTTTAGACTTTAGATAGGTTTAGAGCAGTCAGGGAGTAGCCTCGAGTTGAGCCGTCGGATTTCCCTAGAGTCCGGAGCCTTGAGCCCTAACCCCCCGAGGTGACGTGCTGGAGCAACGGCTACGACATCGATGCTTACAGGCTGTCCTGCTGGAAATGCGAGCAGTCCTCTGTAAGGTTCCATGTAGTAGGCCTTGGAGGGAGAAGTCTGCTGCGAGGTACATCAAGATCTTTCCAGACTCGATCCAGTATAAGTCGCTGGCCTCAGAAGCTGCCATCTGCACAGGGCTCTGGCATCCTTACCTCTTCATCTCGGGGAACCGTCCGATTCAGTCCTTGAGTAAGCCCAAGAGAAGCTGTTGAAAGTTAATACCTGTCATATGCAACCCTTGTCTACAGGGTCTAGGGTTTAGGGTTTAGGGTTTAGGGTTTAGGGTTGTGGACGCAAACACTTGGGGGGGAGTGTGAGGAGCAGGAGGTCGAGTCTTTAACAAGCAAGACAGCTGTTCCTGAAATGCCCGAAGCACATAAGCCTCACACCTAAACCGGCCATTGACCCTAAACACATGAATCCTGAGCCTCAGCCGTGGTGGTGTGAAACATGATACCCAGGATCCTACTATGATGAAAAGGGGAAGATTCAACACACCCTTGCTAACAGGCCCTACTTAGAGGTTCATGGCTAGTAAAAAGTAGGTTATAATTATGGTAGCTATACTTAGAACGCTCTTAAGGGTATTTGTAACCTTGCTTATGACTATTCATTGAACTTCCCAGTATGGAAGCCCTGTAGGAGCTGCTCGGCCCTACAGCCGACGCGCAGCCCCTCGCCCAGTGAGGTGGAGAAGGCGGCGGGGAACGGGGTTTGGGGCGTAGGGTTGGGTTAGGGTTTAGGGTTACTGTTTAGGGTTAGGAGTCTGGGGTTCAAGGTTTACTTCGGGCTGAGGGTTTTGGGTTTCGGAATTCAGGGTTGAGAGTTTGAGGTCAGTTTGGGATGTGGATCGAGATGCCCTCACGATTTGTGTACCTTAATCTGAACCCTAAACCCTCTCTCCGTGGCTATTTCCCGAAATACCGTATCCATTATGTATGTCAAAGTACACTACGATGCTCCTTATGATAGAAATCCCCCCCTCAAGAAGGCACCTCTCAGTTTTGGAAGCCTTCGTAGAAGCTCCCAAGCTCAAGCCCAGAAGCTGCGAGCCCTCAGCCAGAAACGCTGAACCCCCAACCCTGTGCCTGCGGACAGGCGGAGCATGCCGGAATCTGGGGTCCGGACGGCTTGCTGAGGGCCGGGGCCGAATTTGGTGTCGAAGTTTCGGGTTTGGGGGGTTCAGGTTTCGGGGTTTTGAAAGTTTCAGGGCTCAGGGTCCTGAGAATGATGCACGTGCTCTGAGTTTTCAGGCATCCCAGCCCGCCCCAAAAGTCTACACCCCTAACTAGCCTAAGGAACCTTAAGTATTGCGCTCCGAGCCCCGAGTCCCAACCCCCGCTTCTAGACAGGGCGCCTGCCGCCGTCGCATCTCTCCCAATGCCAGGCTTCCGCCAGGGGGTGCAAACCGTTCTCACCCTTGATACCCCAGCTGTCTCACCGCAATGGCTTTTGGGCCCTTGGAAGCTGACCTTTGTCGATCCAAAGTTTAAGCCCATCAGGTCAAGGCTCTGTTTTCTTCGGGGGGTTCTGAAGGAAGGCGCGGTTGTGACTTGAGAGGTTTCTGGCACGCTTGAGGACGTCTAAAGCCCCCCCATACTCCCTAATCTGTTAAGCCCCGAGTCTAACAGCTAGTCCTGACTAAGCCCCAAACTCTGAACCGCCTCATCTTCCGTTCACCACTAAAGCCGAAACCCTGCAAAGGGGAACCATGAGCTCCATCGCCGTGGCCTCGGCTTCTGTGGAGGGCTGGGGTCTGGCGCATTCATTTGGTTAGAGTATTTGGCCACACACATGGGGGTGGCTGGACACTACGGGTCCCTTCCCCAATGCAGACCCCCCCCCCCCCCCCAAAAAAAAAAAGACAAACAAACAAAGCACAACATGCTGTCAAAGCCTAGCTCCCTCAGAACCAAAGACTTGCTATGTCTCATATCTTCCTGAGATTAGGACTCGACACCCGTGAGCCCCTCAACCCAAATACCCCGTGTGAGGCCTTCACGCCCCCGCCCTCGCCGGCAACGGATATCGGCAGCCCCACAACTTCACCTACGGCCTGGTCCTCATAGCGTTAAGATGTGGGCCTGGGGGAGGTCGGCCTGCATTATTATCTGCCTTGCAGGCCAGGGTTTAGGGTTTAAAGGGGGTTTTGGGGTTTGTGGAACTTAGCGCGACTAAGGAATATACTCTCGCTGTGTGGACACTCCAAGAAAGCACCCGCCTCGCAAGGTCTTCTTGAAGGTTTATGGGCAGGGTAACAAGTGCTCTAGTTGTAACTAGTTACACGTTGATTTACCTTTCTTGTACCTATATCACCAGTCATAGCTACCGTGAACCTCCAAGTAGGGATGTGAGCCGGCTTTGGAATACGGATTCTCAGCTGCCTCTTGTTTTGCTTGCATGTCCACCGATGTCCAACGCCACCCGCTTGAACCCAAAATCCCAGAATGCATATCTGCCCGTGAACAGGTGGGTGCAGACAAGTTGCAGGGCCTACAGCTGGGGGCTTAAGTGCTGCTGCGCCATCAGGACCTTGAGACATGCCAGGACTCCAGCCAAGAAGCTTCATACGCCCAGAATATTTGCTAAGTTCCCAAGAGAGATTCGCCGCCCAACGCCAGAAACCTGCCCAAACCCTAAACCTTCAGCCCCAAATCCTAAACCCTAAACCCTAAAACCGAAACTTTCAGCCCCAAATCCTGGACCCTGAACAGGTCCATGGGAGGAGCTCAAGGCCCGTTTCCAGTTCTTGGCGGCGTTCCCCGCAAGCGCATGCGGCTTGGCGGAAGACTGGACTGAGCTTGCTGCTAAGGAACTTTAAATTTCAGTTCCCGTAACAGGGACATATAGTTAACAGCATACTTTCTTTTGTACTGGCAACTTGATCTAAGGAGCTTAGGTGTTCAGGGGCCGAGGGGTGTTTAGGGGTTTAGAGTCTTCGAGGGCTTTGAGCCCTGAACTTTACAGCTTCTCGGGGCCCCGAACCCTAGAAGACTCAGTCTCACGTTTTCGGGTTCAAGGTTTTAGCGATCCCGTTCGCCTCTTCGCAGTTTGCAGCTGTCGGGGCAGCTTTTTCCCACTGGACGACTCTAAATCCCATGACTCCTATGCCCGCTTGAAGCTCCAAATCCTTGGGGCCCTAAACCCTAAACCTTAAACCCTAAACCCCAAACCCTAAACCCTAAACCCCAAACCCCAAACCCTAAACCCTAAACCCTAAACCCGAAACCCTAAACTGCCAAAAGCGAACCCCAGGGCCCATGTGCCACCGAACACCCCGAGCAACGCTGGCGAGGCATGGCTTCGGCTTGCCGGCTTTTAGGGCTTCAGGGTCACTAGGGTTTAGGGTTTAGGGTTTAGGGTTTAGGGTTGAGGGTTGAGGGTTTAGGGATGGTTGGGGTTGCTGGGGCTTTAGGGTTTAGGGCTTTAGAGTTGCTAGGGTTGCTAGGGCGTCTAGTGTTTTAGGGCAATAGGGTTTTTTGGGTTTATACGCAGGGTTGGACCAACTTGCAAATACAGTTACCCTACTTGTAACCCCCAAAACCCTAAGCTCCTAGACCTCTCTTGGACAGAACATTTTTGCCCCGAGGTTTCTCGGGCCGGAGCACGAAAGAAGCCCATTGCTTGGAAGACTTAGACGCTAAGACAAAACGCAACTTAGAACCCGGATCAAAACAGTAAACCCCCCGAATCGGAACAACGAGAAGTCTACATAAAGGGCCCCAGCGAGTGCGAGGCCCAGGCAACGACGAACGCCTCTTCCATTTCGAACTTCTTCAATCCTAAATCCCAGTCTCTGAACCCTCAACCCTGAACCCTAAACCAAAGCGAGCTGTGGGCTCTGTGGCCTGTAGCGGCAAGCTTGCCGGGCACGACAGCCCCGGCGCAGCGCAGTGCAGCCTAGGAAAAAAGGTTTGAAAGTGGCACCAGAGCCCGAAAAGGTGCCACAACCCCCGAAGGAAGCCCCTGAAGGTCCACAGCACAAATCCAAAACAGGTACTTCTGCTTTCCCAGTTTAGTTTCCGTGTCTCGCAGCAGGCTACAGCACAAGGTTGTGGTTAAGATCAAGTGCCATTCCAATCTTCAAAGCACAAAGTCAAGCCCTAAACCCGACTGTGGCAATAGCCCGGGCAGGCCAGCGCACACCGCAGCACAATCCTTGGGTGGAAATGTAAACCTACAGCCCAACCCTACTCCTCCCCTCAGGAAACCTTAGCAACCGCTCCGACTGGACCACCAGGAAGCCACTCCTTCTGACGCATTTGGGATGCGGTCACCGCGCGCCTCGCCTTCGCGTGCTGAGGGCGCAAAGCCTTAAGCCGTAGACCATTCGGCGTTTTGAGGGAAGCTTTTTGCGAAGGACTTGCCGATTGTTGCAGGATGTAGAAAGGCATTGCGTGAGAAGCAAACCAGAGAGCGCATGAATACAATTAAGATGTGAACGAGTTTACTTGACAGCTAGGTTTACGAGCACTTATTCATTCATTTACTGCGTTCGCCTATTAAGAATTTTTTTCCCTGAGCTAACTTACTTATTTTCTATTTTCGCTGGCACATTTAATGATAAATGAAGACAGTACATGAATTAGACCATTGAGCAGTGACAGCGCGAGAGGGAGAGAGAGCGAGAGAGAGCACAGAGAGAGAGAGAGAGCGAGAGACAGAGACACAGGGAGAAGCCCCTATCCCAAAACCCGAAACCCCCAACCCCAAGTTCCCAGGAATGCCCCAAGATCCAAGCCACCCCCAAAGCCAAGGATTCTCCTGGTCCTCCGACATGGTGACCTGCCTCAGAACCTGGTGGTTCTAAATCAGGGTGTCATTCCGAGACAATCTTTATCACAAGGTAGAGCAGCCCGCCGCGATGGTTTCGGATTCGGGGTCCGGGATTCGGTCTCAGGCTTGGGTTTCTCTGTTGGGAGATGATTTTGAAGGGGGGGGGTTTAGGAGGGGCGTTGGGTTTTGATCTGTGACATGGTTTTCAAAGAGGTGTGCTTTGGGTCAACTTCTGTGAATTCTGGTTGGGTTTGGGGGTTTCGCACTTGATGGTCGCAAGGTTAAGCCCTAGAGCCCTGGACCAGACTGTTTGGGGCAGAGGCTTGGGGAACCTCTGCTTGGTTGGCAGGTACCAGATCGCCGCAGCGTGCAGCAGCAGGTGCTGCTGTCTCGGGTCTTGCGTTGGGGCACCGCTTAGTTCTGGGAAGCAGGTCGCTCAGCTTCGCGTGATCTTCAGCGTCAGTTTTATTTAGCTTCTGCAGTCCGACAAGCCAAGCTGCAGCTGCATGAGCGCCTGCAAAGAGATGTAGACTGAGCTAGCTCCTTCTTGCTTTTGTTTTTTCCGAACATCTTGCTTGCCCATCACTCTGCAAGCGTCCGGGGCTTCGGGGGCCGTGTGGCGAGAACGGTACCCAGCTGATGCTCATGACGCTCGCCTCCGGGCTCGTCAAATCGCCCCAATCACTCGGGCAGTTTGTTTTGCAAGCGTCTGGGGCTTCGGGGGCCGTGTGGCGAGAACGGTACCCAGCTGATGCTCATGATGCTCGCCTCCGGGCTCAACAAATCGCCCCAATCACTCGGGCAGTTTGTTCTGCAAGCGTCCGGGGCTTCGGGGGCCGTGTGGTGAGAACGGTACCCCGCTGATGCTCATGATGCTCGCCTCCTGGCTCGTCAAATCGCCCCAATCACTCGGGCAGTTTGTTCTGCAAGCGTCCGGGGCTTCGGGGGCCGTGTGGCGAGAACGGTACCCAGCTGATGCTCATGATGCTCGCCTCCTGGCTCGACAAATCGCCCCAATCACTGGGGCAGTTTGTTCTGCAAGCGTCCGGGGCTTCGGGGGCCGTGTGGCGAGAACGGTACCCAGCTGATGCTCATGATGCAGGCTCGTCAAATCGCCCCAATCACTCGGGCAGTTTGTTCTGCAAGCGTCCGGGGCTTCGGGGGCCGTGTGGCGAGAACGGTACACAGCTGATGCTCATGATGCTCGCCTCCTGGCTCGTCAGCCCCAATCACTCGGGCAGCTTGTTCTGCAAGCGTCCGGGGCTTCGGGGGCCGTGTGGCGAGAACGGTACCCAGCTGATGCTCATGATGCTCGCCTCCTGGCTCGTCAAATCGCCCCAATCTCTCGGGCAGTTTGTTCTGCAAGCGGGGCTTCGGGGGCCGTGTGGCGAGAACGGTACCCAGCTGATGCTCATGATGATCGTGTGCTGGCTCGTCAAATCGCCCCAATCGCTCGGGCAGGTTGTTCTGCAAGCGTCCGGGGCTTCGGGGGCCGTGTGGCGAGGACGGTACCCAGCTGATGCTCATGATGCTCGCTTCCTGGCTTGTCAAATCACCCCAATCACTCGGGCAGTCTGTTTTGCAAGCGTCCGGGGCTTCGGGGGCTGTGTGGCGAGAACGGTACCCAGCTGATGCTCATGATGCTCGCCTCCTAGCTCGTCAAATCGCCCCAATCACTCGGACAGTTTGTTCTGCACGCTCATGATGCTCGCCTCCGGGCTCGTCAAATCGCCCCAATCGCTCGGGCAGTTTGTTCTGCAAGCGTCCGGGGCTTCGGGGGGCCGTGTGGCGCGAACGGTATCCAGCTGATGCTCATGATGCTCGCCTCCGGGCTCGTCAAATCGCCCCAATCACTCGGGCAGTTTGTTCTGCAAGCGTCCGGGGCTTCGGGGGCCGTGTGGCGACAACGGTACCCAGCTGATGCTTACGATGCTCGCCTCCGGGCTCGTCAAATCGCCCCAATCACTCGGGCAGTTTGTTCTGCAAGCGTCCGGGGCTTCGGGGGCCATGTGGCGAGAACGGTACCCAGCTGATGCTTATGATGCTCGCCTCCGGGCTCGTCAAATCGCCCCAATCACTCGGGCAGTTTGTTCTGCAAGCGTCCGGGGCTTCGGGGGGCGTGTGGCGAGAACGGTACCCAGCTGATGCTCATGATGCTCGCCTCCGGGCTCGTCAAATCGCCCCAATCACTCGAGCAGTTTGTTCTGCAAGCGTCCGGGGCTTCGGGGGCCGTGTGGCGAGAGTGGTACCCAGCTGATGCTCATGATGCTCGCCTCCGGGCTCGTCAGATCGCCCCAATCACTCGGGCAGTTTGTTCTGCAAGCGTCCGGGGCTTCGGGGCCGTGTGGCGAGAACGGTACCCAGCTGATGCTCATGATGCTCGCCTCCGGGCTCGTCAAATCGCCCCAATCACTCGGGCAGTTTGTTCTGCAAGCGTCCGGGGCTTCGGGGGCCGTGTGGCGAGAACGGTACCCAGCTGATGCTCATGATGCTCGCCTCCGGGCTCGTCAAATCGCCCCAAACACTCGGGCAGTTTGTTCTGCAAGCGTCCGGGGCTTCGGGGGCCGTGTGTGGCGAGAACGGTACCCAGCTGATGCTCATGATGCTCGCCTCCGTGCTCGTCAAATCGCCCCAATCTCGCCCCCTGTGGCGAGAACGGTACCCAGCTGATGCTCATGATGCTCGCCTCCGGGGTCGTCAAATCGCCCCAATCACTCGGGCAGTTTGTTCTGCAAGCGTCCGGGGCTTCGGGGGCCGTGTGGTGAGAACGGTACCCAGCTGATGCTCATGATGCTCGCCTCCGGGCTCGTCAAATCGCCCCAATCACTCGACCAGTTTGTTCTGCAAGCGTCCGGGGCTTCGGGGGCCGTGTGGCGAGAACGGTACCCAGCTGATGCTCATGATGCTCGCCTCCGGGCTCGTCAAATCGCCCCAATCACTTGGGCAGTTTGTTCGGCAAGCGTCCGGGGCTTCGGGGGCCGTGTGGCGAGAACGGTACCCAGCGGATGCTCATGATGCTCGCCTCCGGGCTCGTCAAATCGCCCCAATCACTCGGGCAGTTTGTTCTGCAAGCGTCCGGGGCTTCGGGGGGCGTGTGGCGAGAACGGTACCCAGCTGATGCTCATGATGCTCGTCGTCAAATCGCCCCAATCACTCGGGCAGTTTGCTGCAAGCGTCCAGGGCTTCGGGGGCCGTGTGGCGAGAACGGTACCCAGCTGATGCTCATGATGCTCGCCTCCGGGCGCGTCAAATCGCCCCAATCACTCGGGCAGTTTGTTCGGCAAGCGTCCCGGGCTTCGGGGGCCGTGTGGCGAGAACGGTACCCAGCTGATGCTCATGATGCTCGCCTCCGGGCTCGTCAAATCGCCCCAATCACTCGGGCAGTTTGTTCTGCAAGCGTCCGGGGCTTCGGGGGCCGTGTGGCGAGAACGGTACCCAGCTGATGCTCATGATGCTCGCCTCATGGCTCGTCAAATCGCCCCAATCACTCGGGCAGCTTGTTCTGCAAGCGTCCGGGGCTTCGGGGGCCGTGTGGCGAGAACGGTACCCAGCTGATGCTCATGATGCTCGCCTCCGGGCTCGTCAAATCGCCCCAATCACTCGGGCAGTTTGTTCTGCAAGCGTCCGGGGCTTCGGGGGCCGTGTGGCGAGAACGGTACCCAGCTGATGCTCATGATGCTCGCCTCCTGGCTCGCTGGGACAGCTTGTTCTGATGGCGCTTTGTTCCCTTCACTCACTCACCCTCTCTCACTCGCAAGAGTCGAAGTCCTAAACTCCTAAAACTTAAACCCACCCGTGCAGGCGACTCCGGAGGACTTTCCTCGCAAGATGGCCGTGGACGCGGTGTCGCCACGAAGCACCGCCGGCTAGAATTCCGTTCTAGACCAACGTAGATTGATGTGGAAGGCTGATTCTTGCAAGTTTTAGGGACTGCAGCCGACACGCCAGGTCTGATTCGACCGGCAGCGACGTGTGGGTCTTTGCTTCTTTAGGCTTTGGAGTGAGGGTGCTCTTTCCATCTTTTTTTCCAACTTCGCCTCCTCTTTTTTTTCTCTCGCTCTTTCTCACTCACTCTCTCTTTCTGTGCCGCATAGTCCATATGAAGAACTTATTTGTGGCTGGGCTCGAACTCTGCCCTCAACTCTAAGCTCTACAACCCTGAATCAAGCAGAAGCCCGGAACCCCTAAAACTGCACCCCGACCATGAACCTTAACTTGAACCTGAGCCCTGAAAATGCCTGAGCCCTTGCCCCTAGAGACCTGAGGCTTGCAACTGGTCTCAGTGCTGAGGCACTGTGCTGCAAACGTTCAAGCAAGGTTTTCGGGTTCAGGGGAATAGGGGCCTAGGGGTTTCCGGGCTTCGGGTTTGAGGATTCGGGGTTTAGGAGCTGTTTGGGGGTTCAGGGTTGAGTTCAGGAGGACCTGGCCCTGGCACACAAGGGTTCTACACTTGTCCCTGCTTGCCCCGCTGGGCCGCACTCAGCTGCCCACATCATCACGCACATCCAGCGCTCAAAGCAGCCAAACCCTGATTGATTAGTAGATCCCCATACCCAGCACTAGGCAGCCCCTCCTCCACCCCATGCGACAGGTAGTAGGGCGCACCCTGGACACGCCAGGACCCTGACGTCGCAGTCGAGACGTTTTTGGGCGCACGGAAAGGACCCCCCCCCCCGGGCATCACGGGGTTCATCGGTGTAGTGGAACCCCGACCATCCCAATTGAAAAACCGAGCCGGTTATATGTTTCAGGGGGGTGGCGTTCGGGGATTTGTGGTTTGGGCTTCGCGGCAGAGGGCTCTTCGGAAGCCCTACTTTTGGAGATTCATGGTGATAGCTGTACTTGAGGTATATTGTGCCCATCGCAAAGCCTTCATTCAATTCCTACACCTGGGCCCGAAATCCTTCAACCCCCGAAAGCGAAAACCCGAGGCTCGAAGGAAAAGCCATGCGAACAAAGGGAAGGCCTGGAAAATGGTAAGAATGTAGGTGCACGGCACGGTTCCCATACATCATCATAGGTTTCCTTCCAGCTCTTCTTGTGCTTGCGAGTCTCGAGACCCAGGACGAAGCCCGCGTGGCGAGCGCACGCCGAGCCCAGGCGCGCAGACGTCGCAAGACGAGCCGCGGTTTAGGGTGCAGTGCAAGGTTCAGGGTTCGGGCCCACAGATGCTTACCACGATGTCAGTACAACTAGAATTTAGTTACACCCATTCTTCTTTGTTTCAAGATGCAGTTTCCAGGCCTGTCCGGGTTCTCCAGTCTGTGTCAGTCCCCTTGTTTGAGCACTCAAAGCCTTGGCCCGAACCCCTAAACCCTGAACCGCACTCTCCCTCGTCAAATTGTTGGAAGCGTCGAGTCCAACGCCGGCGGCCCGTAAAAAAGCACGAGCCAAAGAACCTAAATGCATGTTACATGGTAAACAAAGCAGGCATGCTTGATTGTCACACAAGCCCCGGGGATTTTTTGTTGTCTTTCTTCCAAATCAACTAGTTCACGTGCTCATTTGCTTCACGCATTGCCTTACGCATCCAAGAATCGCTTTCACGGAAGAGCGTTCAGTCAACCGAATGGACCGATGCAAAGCAAGCGGAAACAATGACTTGGTAATCTTGAACCCAGTCGATTTCAGACCATGTGTTGAACATGCTCCCAGCAAAAAGAGCGCCAACGACCGTGGCAGTTTCTCAGGGGTGTGGAGTCTCTTAGGTTTTAAATACTTTAGACCTGCAACCGTTAAACTGCCCAACAGTGGCTTCTCTGATCTGTCTATTGTTGAGGTTTCTTACGGGGTCGCTCGGGCACAGGCGGCGCCTTCGGCGGGGCTAGCCCCAGCTTGTCCTGGGGCACCATCTCCGCAGGCGGAGCTCTTTCGTTGACTCCTCGCTTTTAGTAGCTAGACCTCGGGATAAATGTCGGGCAAGCGAAGTTTTGAATGGTTCTATAGCGTTCTATCTGCCGACGAGCCTACTTTCGACTATTTTTCTGATCTGTTCGCCATGGGTCCGGGTCGTTTTCACGAGGAATGTTAGGGTCTGAGGCTTCAGTACATTCTAGCTTGGAGATGGGGGGTATGTTGCAGAAGTCTGCCTTAGACATTGTGGGCCGGTTTGTCTGTCGCAGCGGCAATTTGGAGTTCTTCTGCCTCCTGGCTGCCGTGGCATGGCTGTCGCTTGTTGTTGTTGGTGGCGATGCTGTTGCGAGTCGCAATGATGAGAAATATCGCTCCAGCCAAGCTGAAGCAACTGTGAGGATTAGCAGACAATCCACATGAGATTTCTGAGCGGACGGTTCGTTGATGATGTGGAGTTCTCAACTTCTGCCGGGTGATGCCGGTGACCGCATACGGAGTCTTTGGCGCTCGCACATGCCCTCTCCGCGCACCTTCAGCGCTTGGAGTCCTTGCGGGTGCCCGGATGGAATGTGTGTGACCTCGCAGCTGCGATTGGGCCCTTTCGAGCCTAAGCCCCAAGCCTGGGCCTAGGTCCCGGCTTTTGGCCTTGCCTGGGTGTAACACAGACGGCTGTGGTCTGACCTGCGGATGCACGCCAGCGTCACCGCCAGCAGCTTCTCACACGGGCAACTTTGAACAGGCCTCTGAGCGTGACTACGAGGCTGAGATTCCCTTCCGTTGAATACAGGGCCCAGGATCATGAGTTGTCTGACATTCACCTGGCTTGCCGTGCAAGCTGAAAGGGGCTGCCGAGTTTGAGGTGTTCTAGGAAGACCGTCCAGCCCGTGATCACACACTCACCATCCAGTTCATCTGGGGCTTCGATGAGTGTATGACCTTCGGTTTTCCTTCCCATCTTGTCCCCACATCAAAGGGCAGGGCTCATGAACACACCCTGGGGACCCCCACACATGACAGGTGTCTTCTGTGGTCTGATGGGTCTCTGCTTTGTAGTCGGATGTCAATCCGCAGAAAGCCTCTTTGGGAATGAGCCTTAGGAGAGTTTTGAGGGGCAATCTAAGGTTTAGGGAGATTAGGGGTCTCTGGTTCTGCAGAGCCTGAAACGGGGTCTACGAAACCTGCCGTAAAGTGTAGAAGAAGAATCTTTGATGCACAGCTGCTTCCGACGCGCCCCTTCCTGCAGAGGTTCTCAGAAGATGTGATTTTGACAAGGGGACACCGCATGCGTCCCCCAACCGTAAGCCTAAAAAATGGAGGCGGCTACGGTCTGGACGCGGCTTCTCGAGGGGCCGCAGCACCTGCCTTAGTGCAAAATACTTCGAAAGCCTCAGGGTTTGTTGAGTGCAGACTTTGTGGGTGCAGTGCAACTTCGGGTTTGGGGGCCTCAGGGTTTGGCATTGACCTCCTAGCAGCATGTGTAGCTTCTCCAAAGCCTTCAAGGTCCTTAAACCCCCCCCCCCCCCCCCCCAAAAAAAAAAGAGATGCGGTGAGCAGGAACCTTCGGTGTTCCATCGAAGCCTTGCTGTCCTAAGGGAGCGTGGTGCAGTCGAAATTTCAACGACATCCGCCCGTCAGAGGCAGGACATGGCATCCAGTGTGAGAAAACCTGTGGAGCCAGCCGAACATGTCCATGCACTCTGCTGTCAGTTTGTTGCTTTCCCTCTGCTGCGATAGAAGAAGCCGCCTGCATGTACTTCGGAGTACACGTCGAACATTTGTGTCGAGAGTTTATCGTTACCCTCAGAACCAATACCATAGATGTGACTAGGTTTGTGTGTCAATTCTTGAATGATGAGACAGGCCGCAGACACTGCACCTACAGTCACTTACAAGGACAGGGGCGCATTGGGAGCCACATCAATGCCGGAGCATAAATGACTACCAATGCCAGGCCACCCTGCATTAGACGGCCCCTGCAAGACATGCGCTGCAATCCCTACTTGGACGTTCGTAGACAATTGGATACTTGCAGGTTCATGGTCATACATGGGATTCAGCAGGCCAGCAACCAGTTACTGGTGGATTATATCCTTATTGCTTTGTTGGGGCAGGTACATATCAGCCTGCATATCGCTCAACCCCAAGCCTTAAGCCTTAAACCCCATATATCCCAAACCTCCACGAGCCTCCAAGCTTTGCCCTGAGTGTAGGAACCACAGTTTCGTCGTCGGGAGCGTGCTGGGGAACCGCGCGCGATGTCCCCACGTCGCTGGCGGTAGCGTGCAGATGTACGCAGGACGGCAGCCACAGGGCGTTTGATTCAAAATGCTTAGAGGTTTTGGTGCAATCCCAGACTCTGAGCCCCAAATCCTTCGGACGTACTGTAAGTGCCATGTTATTGCAGGAGCCTAAGCCCCTATGTGGTTACGGTATCATGAGCTACCCAAGATGCCCGTTTTTGTTCGTACTACATCAAACGGAGTGCGGGTTCGACATGGTTTGACGCAGCTTCAACTCAATTGGATCTTCGAAGGATGTGGAGGTTGCTCTAGATGAGTGCCCCTCTTAGGAGTGCCCTAAAAAATGAGGAGTCTACTATAATAGGGAGCCCAAAAGGACCCGTCAGACTGGTGCAAAGATCGCTGCTGTAGCTTGCCATGCTGACCAATCCCCTTGCCCTTCGTGTGGCAAACCGGGTAAGGATATGAAAGGTGAGTTTTCCTTGAGGCAGATGCAGACACAAAGCTCGGATTGCACTTTTAGATCCCTGATGCTGAGCTCATCCAGACATCCATCCCAAATCTGTTGACCCACGTGAAGGATCGAAACCTGGTTCAAGTCAGCTACGTGGGAACTGAGCGGCGCTCTTCTGAGGGCGCTCCCTGATGACTCATCCAAGAAAATAAATCCGCCAGCCTTTCTGGTAGTGCTCTGGCGTGGAACATAATCATAGTGTAGACAGGCCTCTAAACCCTGTAGACCCAAGACCCTGAACCCAAAACCCTAAACCTTCATGCAGACAGGCACATCCTTATCACGAATTCACCCGATCATAGGTTCGCTCAGTTTGGGTGATGCCATGTACATACCACGAGACAACGCGCAGCTCAGCTTTAGCTGACCTAGCCTGTCCCTGCATTCCGAAGGAAGCAGCAGACAAACTCCAATACTTCTCTCATATCCCCTCCCCCAGTTGTAGAGCCCTCATGTAAACTGCAAGGCACTCATATTTGGGGGCTTTACTCCTTAGGGGAGGGATGAGAAGATGCTCATCTTGCGGTGATGAATGGCTCTAGCTGACGACACAAGTCACAGCCCCCTGGCCTGGTGAAAACGCCAACAAAACGTCGCACCGTGCATGGGTGTGGGAGTGCTGCCTAGTTGTCCGGTGATGACTAGCAAGCCTTTGCAGAAGATTTGGCTGAGCACTGTGACATACACTTAGCCCCCAGGTACGTCGTGCGCCGGATGTGTGCAGCATCTGACACTTTCTTTCGGCAGTTGATAGTGAGCCACGGGACCGGCATCGTCACCCCTGCAACAGAGATCATAGGTACAGAAGCACTCCATGTCAACGCGCCTTGATGCTGGCACTGTGGGCCTGCGTCCACAAGTTGTCGACGAGACTGTGTTGCAAGGACTTGATGATTGGTGTCGTACCTCCTGCAATCACACCTTCTTAGTTGTTCTCCACAGGCCGGTGATGTATTGAGCATGCTTCTGCCCTAGGCTGCACCACCGGTAAGCTGCAAAGGAATGCGAGCAATCCTGTACTTCGTCGATCTGCTGATGGCAGCTGCGGTGTTCCACAACACATCTGTGAGGGGTTTTGGCCCTTTCCGACACGTGCCTGAAGAGTGTTGTAAAACAGAATAGCCTGGCTTCGGCAGGGCCAACGGTTGTTCCGTTCAGAGGTGCTTGTAAGATAAAACCATGCTAGTCCTGTGGTCTTCTCGACACCACGCCCTCCATTCACTCGCCTGCGCGCAAGGGCGCTTCGTCCATGTAACCGCAGCCGTCGGACATGATGAAGATGCTCGGCGCTGTTCGGGTTTTGGGTTTCAGCTTCGAGAGTATGACTGAGTAGGTTGTGATACTCGCACGGGGAAGGGCTTTCCTTTGCCGCTATGCCGAGCTGTGTCTGCGTCTTGTGCTTTTGATCCGAGGACGTTTCGCACAAAATCCGCATACTGAATTGGAACATCCTTGCCCCGTCTTGGGACAATAACGATGTGAAGCTTGGACGGGTGTCGGATAGGTGCTCCCAGCTAGTTGCAGCTGACCATCTTGAGTTTCGCAACCAGTGTATCTGATCATCCATTGCCTTCGAGTCATGGGAATAGTGAGCTCCTCCCTAGACCTGCACATTAGTTTTCATTGCTACAAAGGCATTTTTTCTGCTGAAGTTGCTGTGCCGACTGTCTCCAGTGAGGAAGAAAGACAAGTCTGCGCAATGGCCCTTTCGACTGCCAAAGCTCATGCACGAGATGCGCCTGCGCAAGCCCGATGTCATTGTCCTCCAAGAGGTGCCTCCAAGCAGCCCTCAGGTTTAGGGTTTAGGGTTTAGGGTTTGGGGTTCAAGTCCGCAAGACCCCAAGCCCTCAACCCCAAACCCTGAGATCCCCACCCAAGATACTGCAAGGTGGAGGTCTATCTTTGGGAGGAGCAGGTGAAGCCTTTCCTCAAAGCTCGAGGTTTTCAAGCTGCTTACGCTGCTCGGAGAAAGCCAACTCCCTCATTCTGATGCCGAGGGTTTGGGGCGTTTAGCTTGCCGGGCTTTGGCTTCATGGAGTCATGTCAAGGTGGTAAGAGGGGGGGGCGAAGGGCTAGGGGGGTTTAGGGTAGACATGCAAATACACACTCATTTGTGGGGTATGCATAGTATACGATGCATACAAAGTATACATAGCATACATAAGATACATGGCAAATACAATGTATACGTAGTATATATAGTGTACGTAGTTTTCATAGTATGCGAAGTATACATAGTATACAAAGTATACATAGTTTGCGTAGTATACATCGTGTATATCGTGTACATCGTGTACATCGTGTACATCGTGTACATCGTGTACATCGTGTACATCGTGTACATAGTGTACATAGTATATAGAAATATATTGTATAGTATGAAGGGAATACACATGCAAGTAAGAGCGTTAATGTTGTAACACTGCTACCACAACTCCTCAACCACCAGGGTTGAAAACATCAAGAGTAAGAGTTCAAAGGGATCTTGAACATTCGTTCTTTTGATACACCATGGTACGCCACCACCCATACGCTACATTTAGGCCTGGAAATGCGTCAAAGTATAGAAACCTGTTTTTCTTTTGTTTCTTGTTTTTTTTTTTTTTGGGGGGGGGGGGGGGGGGGCATACCCCAAATTTATATGAGCCCTGAGGCCCCCGGGTGTTTTCAATTTTTTTCAGTCGCCGGAAAATCTTTCCTGAACCTTTAGGGGTCGCTTGGTCGCTTTCAGGCCTGTCCCCGCAAGCCGGACCCGAAAGCCCACACCCAGAAGCCTTCAGCCTCCGAAACCCCGAGCTTCCCTAAGCATCCCTGAGCCCTGGATCCTAAGCGAGGCTTGCTCCGAGTCTGGCATGGGTGTTGCCATCCTCTGGCGGCACACCCGCTTCGACAGGCGAAGGACTCTGGACATTGACTTGGCGGACCCGAGCAACAGCCGCTGGCTGGCCGAGAGAAGGGCGGCCCTGAACAAGGACTCTGGCTTCTTTTGAGGTGCAGAGGCGTTTCTGGAGCTTGTCGTTTGGGGCATTGTAGGGTTCATGGGGTTTAGGGTCAGAATCCCTGATGCTTTCCTGGGCTGGAAGTGGGGCTTTTTGTCCGAATCCCGGCGCCCCCCCCCCCAAGGGTGAGTGCTTGAGAAGGACCAGGAGAGAAGGTTCTTCTCCAAGGGGCATCTGGGACTCTTCTTGCAGCAGCCTTTTGATTTTCGTTAACAGCACTTCCGAAGCTGAAGAAGAATCCGCGCCCCTGACCTGCACATCCTACAGAACCCCTATAATAGTTATAAGCCCTAAGCTCAAAGCTCACCCCAGGCACCCTGGCTTGTTTGTCATCCTTGGCGTCAAGTCGGGCAGAGAGGCGCCTGAAGACCAGCATGCCTTGCTGGTTGGAGCCGCGTGACCTGGGCTTAGGTGGATCCCCCCTGGTTCGGTGCAGAAAGTATCCTTGATAAGGCTTCTTTCTTTACCACTTGCATATAACCAGGGGTTGCCTTGATCCTTGAAATCCTACTGTACATCCCAAGCCCTATGTGTGGTGTAGGCGGGGTATGCTGTGCCTTGTAGGGACTGTATACAAAGAAAAGGGACCTATTGGAGCTTCTCTTTCTGACAGTTGAGGTACATTGTCGCAAACCCGATGAGCTTACTCCCGATGCGCCTGGACATTCAAGCCGTGCAAACCATGATGCTGCTGGATAGCATGGAGCGCATATTGGAGCACGAGTCCCGCAACTATGCGAGCTTGAGCGTCTCTCGGTTTAGGCTGGCAGGATGGAACCCTCAGTGGCAGCTATCCGTTCCATGAATCACGGTTGCTTTTCCGTCGCTGTAGTGAAACAGGCCTTTGATTGAGGTGGCCACCACCTGTCATGTTTCAAACTTTCAAGGCAGGTCCTCTGTATAGGCAGCAGTAGCATTGGTGATCATCTTGAAACGAACGGTTCTATATCATTGAGGAAAGCTAGCTTTGTTAGGCTTGTTTTACTTGCTCTAGCAGGGAACCGGTCTAATGGTCGTTGAACCGCAAATGAATCATATCGAGAAACATGGGGAGTTGGGGGGGGGGGGGTGTCTTGAATCTATCTGGGAGGGGGGGGGTATTTGAATCTATCACATGAATTTTGGGCACGATGCTGAAGCTATCAAAAATTTCTTTGACAAAGCGCTTTCTCTCAAATGGATCGCCTTCTGTGTGAGGGCATGGGTGCCGCGATGTGTGTGTGTGTGTGTGTGTGTGTGTGTGTGTGTGTGTGTGTGTGTGTGTGTGTGTGTGTGTGTGTGTGTGTGTGTGTGTGTGGTGCTGTGGTGGCTTGTGGTGTTGGTGTGTGTGGTGGAGAGTGAATGTGTGTGGTGGAGTGTGGCGGCGGTGGTGGTGGTGGTGGTGGTGGCGGCGGCGGCGGCGGTGATGTTGGTGGTAGTGGTGTGCGGTGTGTGTGTGTGTGTGTGTGTGTGAGATCCATATTGGCAGCATTGCCCCGCTTGCTTTAGTTGTCCTCGTCTCTTCCTCTCAAGATTATTTTGCAATGTAGATGTGACCCACCAGAGAAAATGCTGTAACTCTCTCAGGTAATTGTCGCTGGAGACTTCAACGTGCCGCCTTTCTACCCGCAGAGCTCCTTTGACCTCTTGTCTCAGCACATCAATGACGAGAGCAACTTCCAGGAGCTGGCTGACAAAGTCTCGCCTCGGGGCCGAACTTGGGGAGGAACGGGGGAAAGGGTGGGGTGGTCGGGCATGGCGGAAGTTCTCGCCGTCTTTCTTCAGTTTGGACCCTTCGGAAAAATCACACCAACTTTCACCAACATTGGCAACTAGGCAGTGCCTGCCTTGTTATAATTTGTCTGCAAAGGCAAGGCGTCGAACGTGGCACCTTCAAAACGTTTGTGGATCCAGCTACGGACCAGCGGATCCTCGCCAGTCCGGTGTGCCTCGATTCATCTCAGGTGGCTTTCCTTAATGTATATTTTTTATGTAGGGATAAGGATATATTGTTTAAATATACATGAATATGTACACATGCAAGGAAAATCGGCGGTGATAGGTGTCGCAGCAGTCGTAGTTTTACTTGTGCTCGTCCTCGTTCTAGTGCTACTGTAGTTTTTGTCCAACTGCAGTCTAGCCCAAACTTTGTCTTGGGTGCATCAACATGGCTGTGCTGTATGGTCTATTATGTATCGGGAAAGTGGATCAGGAGGTTAGATGGTTTGTTTTCGAAGTTCCGATGCGGGTGAAGGGGTAGAGTTGTAGGGTTTAGGGCGAGATGTGTTGCGTGTGCTTGAGTATGTACTGTTGCTTGCAAAACTTGCGCACGAGGCAGGTCGGTACCGTACTACCGCCGCCAAAAGTCTGACGCAGCACGATTCATCGCCGGGACGAAGAGAATCACTTAGCAGTGGCGTTTAGCCACTGTCATTGCCGCGAAAGCTTTCATGGATATGCATTGAATCCATTCGGACAGTGTTCGCGACGTGTGCATTGGACGTGACGTGCTCAGGTGCACGTTTGCACCGCTTGGCTTTTTTTGGCTTTGTCGGCTTTGGGTGCCAATGGCAAATGGCTCTCCCTTTCCCGTGTTGGGGGTACCGGTTCCGTGCAGCACATGAAGCACAGTGGTGCGTCGCACAGCATTTGAGCGTTTTTCTGTGCCTCCTCTCGGACTGACAGCCCGAGTGTGCCTGTCGTTGTGCGGCTCCACGTGGTGTGCTGCGTGGGCAGGCCCGCTCTGCCCGACGATTCCTTTGCCGCGGCGCATGAGCAACTTTGATCGGTGATTGGCTGAAGCGCGTCGACCGCCTTGGCCCAGCTTGACGGCCACAGGGTGCCCGGGACTACAGCCCTGATGCTTCTCTATGCCAAGCGCGGTAAGGAGATCAACCCCAAATCTCTTTGCGAACGGGAACCTTGTTGCTTGGCGATGCCAGCTCGACGTAGAGGACGACTTGGCCCAAGCTGCGGATGCCGTTTGATAGTCTTTCCGTACGTACCACTGTCCTAGCACACAACTGATTCTCAAAACTGCGGAAACCAAAAAACGAATGAAAACACGAGTCGGCACTCTCAAAGCAACAAGCTTCTAAAAGTTCAGTGCTGGTGTCGGGTTCCCAAACGACTCAAAGGGTCTGTCGGGAGGGTTCTGGATGTTTCCCCAGAAGTTTCCCTGGGCTGCCGAAAGGTCCCACGACGGATGTGCCATTTACGTGCGCGGGCCCATCGCTGGGTTTTAAGTGCCAGGCTGAGAAACCACTCCTCCCGAACGCGTTTGTATGGAAACCTGTGACGCCCTCGGCCGGGGCCGAGGCAAGCTAAACAAGCAGCAAGCTCGCATTTTTTTGTTGTATGCCAAGGGAGTCTTGCAAATGTTTCTGTCGCATTTTTTCGCAGCACCCATTTACATTCAGCGGTGTCTGCACTGAAGACATCCGAGGGCCGCTTCGCTCGCCCCCGCCGCTCTCCCGTGCTTGCGTGAGCTCAGGCATCGTTCGTTGGCCATGCGCCTCCCCACTAATCGCTTACAGCGTGTGCAGCTTTTGAGACCGTGCTGTGCAATGCTGCATCCCGCGCGCTCACGCGCGTCTCCTCAGATGCGCTGCACTGAATTCTCGATTCTGGGTCGCCGCGCCACAATTCTCGCCATCATCATGTACAGATCGCGAGAAGACGTCTGTGAACGTACGACGCTGGGGTAGTCCACTGCCTTAGAGCCTGCAGTGTGCAGCCGGCAGGTGCACAAGGTACCACACCACGTCATGAGCTTTCGCATGGGTTGCGAATGCCCTGCACGTGCACATGGTTGGCTGAGGGCGACGCGCACATCAGGAGCAACGACCTTGCTCGGTGCTGCAGATCTTCGCAGGCAGCTCACTTCTTGAGCTCGCCTTTCTCTCAGTATCCCCTTTTGTTCTCGTTTTCTTCACTCCCTCTCTCTCTCTCTCTGCTCTCTCGCTCTCTCTCGCTCTCTGTCGCTCTCTCTCGCTCTCTCTCGCTCTCTCTCGCTCTCTCTCGCTCTTTTGATCCTCAACCCCAGGGTGCCCAACCCCAGAGTGTCCCTGGAGTCCCCAACCCAGAGTGTCCCTGGAGTTGCAATCCTCAACCCCAGAGTGTCCCTAGAGTGCCCAACCCCAAAGCGTGCCTGGAGTGCCCAACCCCAAATTGTGCCTGGATTGCCCAATCCGAGAATGCTCATCCCTCCTCCCTCCCCCTCTCCTCCCTCCCCCTCTCCTCCCTCCCTCCCTCCCTCCCTCTCTCTCGCTCTCTCTCTCTCGCTCTCTCTCTCTCTCTCTCTCTCTCTCGCCCTCTCTCTCTCTCTCTCTCTCTCTCTCTCTCTCTCTCTCTCTCTCTCTCTCTCTCTAGCTTCTCGCGAAAACAGCGCCAAGGGTGTTTATTGTTTCATGCGACGAGGCTATCGCCCCACGGCGGAGTGGTACAGGGCAGGGATGCAACCCAGGTAAGGAACTGGCGGCCCATTGAGTTGCGCAAGAATCACCCGTGTACCTGAGGAAACCTTATAGGCCACCATCACGTGGGAGTTTGCAGCAAGTTTCTAATAGACCATACGTTGGCCGTTCCACACTCAATCGTTCGCCAACACAGAAAATAGGAGGTCACGCATGCCTATTTTTGAATCCGCACCGGGCAGCATCAAGGTGTTCCAACCTGGCTTGACAAAAATGTTGAACCCTCTATTGTTTTTTCTCAATGTGCGGAGTAAAGTTTTGCAATTCTTGGACGGCCACCGTGGAGTAACCAGACTTGTAGGTGACCCCGCACGCCCTACCTGTCCACGCGCAGTCGGCAGCGTCTCGATCGGTCGACGTATTTCCGACTTGAAGTCGGCGGCCGCTTCGGACCGGAAGCATACGGCGTTTGCCACGAGCACGGCTTTGAGCGAAGCGTCGGCCCGACCCCCATGCCGCGGCGACGCGCGGGCAGCGAGCGATGCATGCGCTGGCAGGGCACGCGCGGCATCACGCTGTCCCGCGGCTGCTTCGAGGTGTACTCTGAGGTCGGGAACAGTTTGACTGGTCGTACAACCAAACGCACCCTTGGAGCGTCAGGCCCTGCGCAGAAGCATACGTCAGCGCGTGCGCCAGACGGGCCGCGTGCAGCAGCGTGGCCGGCGGGTAGCTTTGGCCGCTCTCCAGAGTCACCTTGTCCTGACTTCCTTCACCGTGACGAAGGCCCCCTTGGCGATGCGCCCGCCCGCGCCCACCAGGCGGAGCCCCGGCCACAGGCATGCGGCGGGCGTGGGAGATCACCAAGCAGACGTCTGGCTCCGTGCTGGGGTCATGCCCGCTTGCGCAGTTCGAAAACCTCGTAAATGCCGTGGGGGCGGAATGCCGCATGCCCGAAAACCTCGCACATGTCGTGGGACCCGAAAACCTCGCGCCATTGGGATCCGGTCACACACATCGGACGCGGGAACGGTTTCGGACACGCTAGCGCCCACTTCGTGTCGCCCCGCGCCGACATGCCAAATGCCAGATGCAACGGGACCCACCAGGCCAGATGCGGTGGCGCCTGCGAGCGTGCCGAGCATTGCCCGGGAGAAGTCGCGCCCACACTCGCGGAAACTCCGACGCCGGGGTTTTCGCTTCCAGATCCACCGGTCACCGGACTTGCTGCCGTGGCAGGAAGTGGGCCCGCCACAAGCGGACCCCAGCGCGCACGGGCTGGCCCGATCGCTGCACGAGGCATGGGCATTTTCGCCCTTGCCGCCACCCGCCATCTCCGGCTCCGGTCACCGCGGGTCAAGGTCTGAGAAAAGGCTCGCGCACGCGGATGCGTGCAAACAGGTCGCGGCGGCTCGCTGCCACCTTCGCAGGGGCTCAACGCTGGAGGCGGTCGCCCGCCCTCGGCAAGTTCGTCCCACGTCGACAAAGCGAACCCGGCCTCCAGCAGCTGCGTCGCTGCCGTGTAGAGCACTGGCGCGCGTAGTGACACGTTAAAGCACGGAGTAGGCGCAATGCCGCTGCTATGGGCTGCTCGGAGCCGTGAAATGGGCTGAGCCGATTATTGGCAGTTGAACGACTGCACAAGGCGGAGGACCTCCGCCACAACTTGCGGGTGACGCTGGCGCAGGATTGGCAAGGTGTGTGTGTGTGTGTGTGCCCAAGATGCCCAATACGCTGCTTTCCGGCCTTCCACGGCACGACGCCGTCCCAAGCCTCCGAGCTTCAACGGCAGCGCAGCGCATGTGCTACTTAGGTCGTCAATGCGCGCTGGGGGCATCATTGGCTAGGAGGTCAGCTAGGCAGCGTGCGACTCCTTTGTCGTGTGTGCGCGCAAACTCATCCGTCAGGGGCGGCGCCACAGAGCGGGGGAGATAGTTACAGCGTGGAGCGGCACACATGAGCAGCAGCAGCCACGCAAACTGAAGGTCAGGCAAGCTGGGGATCTTGTCGTGGGGAAAGGTCAATAAGCTGAAATTCATATTCGTGAACAAACACTTGTCAATCAAAGGCAGATTGAAGCTTTTCAACGCCGTGGTCACTCCTACGGCACTGTTCGGACTTTCTACATTGGCACTGACGCGACAGCTGGAACAGCTTGATATATGCCAGCGAAAGATGTTTCGAAGCATTGTTGGATGGAGTCGCGACGCAGATGCAACTTGGGAAGCGACGATGCGACGCATGAATGCCCGGGTATCGTCTGCTCTCAGGCAACATCCTGTGCCTTCGTGGTCCAGTGCTCATCGTGCTAACCAGCACAGGTTCGCAATGAACCTGACTGCGAAGAATGCTTGGCCACTATGTGCTGCAACCTGGAGTTCCTCATCCCAGCACAATTTCAATAGTGTGCCGAGACGACGACCTGGTCGCCCCCCCAAGCGATGGGATGATGAACAAGTTTGTAATGTCGCAGTTCCCTGGATGTAGTTCGTGGTCTGACGTAGCTCATCTGCCAAGATGGCCCATTAATTAGCTCGTAACACCCACCGTTGTCCCTTATCCTGAAAGGACCGTAGTCTTCGTGACTCGAACGGGCAAAGTGCAAAGTGCAAAGTGCAAAGTGCTCCCAAAACGGGTGCAACCTTGTTGCTCGGGCGGCATGGGGTGGTCGCCAATGCACACGAGTGCCTCGCCTGGCGCCGTAGGTAACGCTGCCGCAAGGCCCTGGCAGTTGCTCGCCCGTGGAATTGCACATCCGCGTTTCTTCAAGGTGTACATCGATGTTGGCGTGGCGTTGGAGCTCTGTGCGCAAGGTGACAAACGCAGCACACGCGTGTGTGGGCTCGCACGACACACACGTGTCATCCAAGAATGCATAAAGGTCTGCGTGAATACTGGAAACGGCGTGGGCCACCTCGCTCGTCCTAGATGATCGTGGAACTGGTACGTGCTTTCTCGGCCGCAAAATTAACAGACAAGGGGTATCAACGAAAGATGAGTGGGCCGAAACATGTTGGGACGCACAGCAAATCCCAGGATGGGCTGGGCTTGCTGTGGGCCAAGTTCACCTTTGTCGGTGAAGGGGACATGGCTGTTGCACTGATTTTTTTGAACATGAACATCGGGTTCAGACAATGTATGGGCGACTCAGGACTTTGCCGGTCCCAATTCGAGCAAAGAAGCTAGAAATCAAGATTGGTGATGGCTTCAATTGTGGCTCCTTGTTGGTTGTGAGGGTGATGAACAAACATGAGTCTTGACACTGCACATGGGGGAACACATTGGGGAACACATCGGAAGATTGGACAAAGTTTCAAAAAAACACCGAGTTACAGGAACTTTTCGTGCGTTCCGCTTGAACCCCTCAAAACAAGCCACGGGCCATCACGGGCCAGGGCAGAAACAAGGTCGACGGACATCTCTTTTCGAGCCGGTTTTCACAACATCCTACATTTTCGAGCCCGAATTTTCGGTGTGCAACTTAGGCATCTTCAACACTTCCTCACCAGACAAGATAGCAAAACTATTGGGCGTGGGATGTTTTGCTGTTTTCCGAGACCAGCAGCATAAGTCCAGCAACAACTGTCTTGCGATCAGTATATCAAAAAAATAAATGGTCGATCGATATATATACACAGACTGACCGCCCAGCGGACCTGGATGCTGCCGAAACCGTGTCGGATTCGCTCAGCGCTACCATGCGCTACCACTCCTTTCGCGTCCCCACGTGGAGAGGCCCACACGGAGCTCGCAGGTGCTATCGCGACACCGACGGCAGCAGCAGGCACCCCGGCAGGATGCTCGCCCGCCGAGCGTAGAGCCCGGCGAGCGCAATTCCTGGTTGCATGTCCCTTTTTTGCACGCGGGCGCCTTGCATGCTTACCGAGCGAATCCGACCTGGGTTTGAGGAGCTGGCAGCTACGCTCCACCGGGCGCCGCCAGCCATACTCGGCCAACTAGCGCGGTCGTTGCTCGCTGTGGCAGATTGCGAAGCCCGCGCCCATGCCATTGCAAGCGACCATGCTCTTTTGCGTGGGCCCCGATGGCTACCTTTCAGCGGCAGCACAGTCAGCGCTGCTGGATTCTTACGCTGGTGCGACGGCCGTGCAGCTGCGCGGGCGTTGGCCGACGATGCGCGCGCCAGGCACGCAGCAGCGGACGGAAACAGGCGTTCGCCTACGACCCGACGGCACCGTCGACGCGCTCGCCGCCGGAACGCGCCATGCGGCCACTCTCCCCCGCCGCAAAGCAACGAGGGTAGGGTTCCCGTTTCCCCAGCGAATGCTGCGGCTCCGGATCCCAGTGCGCGCGCCACGGCCGCTGTTCCCGAAATAGCCTTGGGCCACGCTTGATGCAGTTGATTTGGCGGCGGAGTTGTGCTGTTCTGTGGAGGCGTTCCGCCCTTCATGCGACCGGCCGTTCGGATGGCCTTGGTTACTGGACTGAGCCACATTCGCGACTCCGCAAACAAGCCGCCCGCTGCGGACACCGCCCAACCTTGTACAACTCAGCGAGGGGCCCAAAGGCGCGAGGAATGGCTGGGACGCGCAGCAGATCGCAGCAGCATTCCAACGGGGTGAGTGGACACGGCTGTTGGATAAGGCATGCCGGGCCGGTTCGATTCGCCGCAAGTCGGGTGCGCAGAGTCTGGAAGGGGGATGAAGGGGGAACAAGCCTGCACGAAGGTTTGGGCGGGCGAATTCTCCAGAGCTCGCCAGCTCCTCACCGCAGCAGAGCTCGCGCCGGGCAACGAGGATACATGGCGCATCAACGGACCCTGCCCGCCTCGCAGACATGCCTGATGGAGCTCCTCGCTTTTGCTGCGACCGAGCTGGCTAATGCAGATGTGCCGATTGTGCCGGAGAACATCGTGTCGGGTCTCGCCTTAGCTCGCCTCACAGCGCTTCGAAAACCGGATGGCGGTGTGCGTGGCGTCGCCACGTTTTCCGCCGCCATGTTTCGCGGGCCCTACATGGGCGCACGTGTTCGATGAGGCGACTTGACCGCTTCAATATCATTCAATACGCGTTGCAGGCGAGGGTTGCTCCGATCCACTTCTCCATCCCCAGCTCTTCGGTACGTCTGCCGGCGAAAATGGTCGACGGCCTCCGTCTCGGGAGGTTGGTTGCGTTAGAAACGCCAAATGGAGGCAGACGCGCCCTTGATGGGAGACGTTTCCGTGGTGTCGCGGACCTGGGCACGACAGGATACGACAGGCAGCTGATGCCTTCATGGATGTGTGTAGCCCTTCCCAATACGAACTCTCGTCACGCGTTCTCCACGCGCTGGGACCGAAGTGCTCGCACGTGCGTCTGACGGTTGTCAGTGTTGACGTGTCGGTGCCTACGATTGGAGGGCCTCCGCCGAGAACCACGTGGTGGCTGCATGCAACCCATCCAATGATTGCAAGCTGCCGACAACCATAGTGGTTTCTCGCGCGAGCTCGTGACGAGACTTTGCGAGTTGTTGTTCAATTGTAACACTTGCACCTGATGTGCGAGAACGTGGTGTGGGATTTCTCGTGTGATTCTTACATTGTTGTTTGACATCATTCTGCAGGCTGAGCAATTTGGTATCCACACTGGACTGAACCTCATGACGCACGAGCAGACACTGGCAAATGCCTCTCCTCATCTGACGGTGGCTCCTCGACAGCACCACTCTCGAGCGTGATGGCAGCGCCTGGACCCGCTGAGGCCACCTTTGCCGCCCCCTTCAGGAGCCGCCGCCATCTTTGCCTTCAGGCTCCGGTGGTCGGCGCTCCTATCCTTCGCTGCCGCGCGCTCCAATCTCGATGGGGCCCCTGAGCGGGGCTCGAGCACAGGGACCGCGTTGTTGGCAAACAGGTGCGAAGGAGAATACAAAGCCTGCGAACACTGTAAATATTAGCGTTTCCGCCAGCAGCATTTCTGAGTTTGCAGAGGCTGCAAGTACTGTAAACACGGTGCACAGCAGCGTTTGGGCCACTTTCCAGGCTGTGGGATGGGCTGCCTGCCCTTCCTGGTCCGCAGTGGCTGCTGGCGCCCGCCCCAACACCCCTGACGAGAACGAAGCCGGGCTTGGCGACTGGCCTCACAGTTCATTTGCAACCTCCATTACCGCGACCGCGTGCTGCTGCCCTCCCTGACCCCCAGCCGCCAGGCCCTGCTGCGCTCCCAAGCCGGACAGCAATCGGCAGCTTGGCTCTCTGCCGTGCCCTCCGAGCCAAGCCTGACACTCCTGGCCATGCAAATCGCCCTGCCCTGCCGGCCCTGCCCCTCGCCCCGAATCGCTGCAGGGGCGCAGGAGCGTACGGCTGTGGCCGCCGCACCGACCCGTTCAGCGACCACGCCCTTGCATGCCCGCGCACGGGCCTCCTGGCACGCCGGGCGAAGGTCGTGGAGCGTGCATGGGTTCGCGTTGCTCGCGAGGCTGCTGGCCCAGAAGGCCAGGTCGCCCCGCAGCAGCTGCTGGCGCGGCACCGGGAGTACGGGCGGGGGACCAGCGCCACCTCCTGCTGCGATGCCACCATGGTGTCGCCCCTGACACGCGAGGGAGAACTGCACCTAGTCCTCGGCAATGAAGTAGGCGGGCGCTGGAATGACCAGGCCCGCGACTTCTTGCGGACCCTGACGCGGTTACGGGGCTATCGCGCGCGTCGGTGGTGGGGGCTGTTGTCCGTGGCGGTGCAAGTGGCTGTGGCCGAGACTGCGCTGGGCCCGGCTTCAGCGCGGCACCTCCTCTAGAAACCGTCCTGGCGCTGGCCGACTGCGCTGGGCCCGGCCTTCCGCCGCTGCGGCCCTGGACCCGCATGATCCTGATGCCTGTCAATAAAGGTGCGTGGAAAAAAATCAACGCCTCTCAGGCTGTGCGTTTTGCGGTCTGCAACGCCTCGTGGTTTCCGCACGAAGTCAGCCGTTTTAGCGCGGGTTCCACGAACCTGGTGCGAGACTTCGTGAGGACGCGCTGGCTGCGGCATGCGTGTCTGTGCGGAGCAGCGCAGCATGGCGTTGTGCGACTGCGGCCGGCCGCTGAAGTAGGTGTTGGATCTCGCCGACGCTGCGGGGCCCAGCATGCTGCCACTATGGCCTTAGTTGGGCGTTGATTTTTCACGCTACCTGTGGCGGATGGGCTGCAAAGTTCTGCTCCAGTGGCCCACCTGTGTTTCTGCCAGTTCGTTCGGTTGTTGTTGGGTACGCGTTTCATGTGAGAGAGGGGAAGTTGTCTTTCTCCACGGGTTCGCTAAATGGCTCGCAAGTGCCCTGCGCTGGGTTTTAAGGATTGCTCGGCTTCGATAAGGATGCTGGCAACGTCCGGTTGGCCCTTTTGTAAATAACCCACCTGGAATCTGACAACTGACCTTACTGGAAAATCAGAACGCTTGCCGCCGAGAATGTCCAAGTTCTCGCCTGGCACTCGGGGAACACGAAGCCCCATCCTGGTGGTTGGGCCATGGTTCTTGACCGATTCAATGTCCAAGGATGTACTGCAGCAAACATTTGCGTTTGTCAGTTTGCCATGTTTTTCCAGGTACGAGCTCATCACGAAGGGCGTGCTTGACCAAGACTCCATTGGGTTTTTGATAGCAGCAATAAAAGCAGCTGGCTATCATCCATCAAAAATCCTCACAGGACTGATTAAGAAGGAGGGTGAGCTCGTTCATCTGTTTGCAATGGGGGGGGGGGGAAGGGCTCTTGCACCCATCTGCGCCGCGCACAACATGCATCACATGTGTTTGTGTTTTATGTGGACGGCCGGTGCTTTGCAGGACCCATGTCTGAAATGTTGACATCCAAGTGGTTGCGCTATCCCATGATCAGCGCTTATGCACATGTTTTCGGGATGGAGCCGATGACCAATTCCATGGAGACGTTGGACTTCGTGTCGGGGGCTGAGCGACACTGCCGGGATCGGCTGGGTGGTGCAAACCAAACCTATGCTACTTGTAGCGAAGATGGGCTGGCACAACTGCCCAGGAAGCATTGAGTGGTCAGGTTTACAAGTGGGCTATCCATTGTTGCTCGCGACATGCCGTTCAGGTTCTTTTTGCCTGCGCAGCGGCGACCCGATCATGCGCGTGCTGCCCGGTTGACCGTCACAGGCGCCAGTCAGCATGTTGTGTCCAAAGCCAGCACATAAGCTCTGGGCAGTTCTTTAAGCTCACGCGGGTGTTAGCGGCCCTGGGAAAAGCGTTAGTTTCGGCACTTCTTGGTGACTTCTGGTGGGGGGGGGGTGCGGGGGGGGGGGGGGGTGGGGGGGGGGCGGGGGGGGGGGGGTGGGGGGGGGGGGGGGTTGGGGGGGTGGGGGGTGGGTGGGGGGGGGGTTGGGGGGGTGGGGGTGGGGGGGGGGTTACGTCATTCATATTGCGTCCATGTTCAAAGCACTGGTATTTACAGCGCATTTTTGTACAACACACTGGAACAAGAAAATCTGTCCCAAGTGTCCATGCCTCACGCGACCAAAACCGTGCTTTCCGTGCTTAACGTTTCTGCGCAACCCCAAAGCCAGCTGAAAAAGGGGCGAGGAAAGAAAATCCCGAAAACGCATTGCGGCCGCGTTCCGCGACTGCAGGCCGAGTACGCCCGAGTACGCCCGAGTACGCCCGAGTACGCTCGAGTACGCCTGAGTACGCCCGAGAGCGCAGAGCGCCCGCCCGAGTACGCCTGAGTACGCCCGAGTACGCCCGAGTACGCCCGAGTACGCCCGAGTCATACCCGTTCATACCCGTTCATACCCGGTCATACCCGGTCATATCCGGGCATACCCGGTCATACCCTGTCATACCCGGTCATACCCTGTCATACCCGGTCATACCCGGTCAATACCATCCCGTGGTTTTCCGCAGTCGCAGTTTCCCGTCACAGTGAAGCGAAAACGCGCAGAAATCGCAAAAACACATCCCCAAAACAAACACTGCGAAATGCTGAAAACACTGGCAGGCGTGGTACTTTTCAACAAAACACCACCTTACAGTCACTCCAAGTCCTGAAAAATAAATGCTGTCAAAAAACCCCTTTCAATGTGCGAACACTGCCCTGCGTGGGTTGCAACCGCATTTCCTGGTGCAAACGGTCCAGGGCACCTAACGCCCGCGTGACCTTCTTGAACAGAACGTCCGTATGATCCATTTTGCGAAGGTGTCCTGGCAGCTCCGCCGCCGCAGTCCAGGCAAAGTCTCGTTGCTGGTTTGGGTTCTGATCACATCCCGCTGGTCGTGGACGTTGGACTTTGCACACCATCTCCAATCATTAAGTATCCGGAGGCTGAGCTTGAGCACACATCGAACCGCAGTGCCGTGCACGTCGCTGACATGCAAGCATCAGCAGCCTGCGAGCCTTGCAGCAATGATGCCGTGCTCGAGATGCTGACGAATCTGGAACGCAGATTGGAAAAGCTGGATGCAAATGCTTCCAAGCCAGCAGTTGGGGAGCTGAAGTGGGCATTGGCTGCATCGACCTTTAGCTCCATCTTATTTGCCACGTCGACAATGTACCTTGCCCGAATAGATGCCCACTAAACCAGCCTTTTAACCTGCAGCTTGGCACCTCAGTGTGACGCCGAACAGGGCGAGAGGCCTGAGATTTGAGAATGGGGATTTGAGAAAGCGTGGCTAGCGGTAGCAAGTGTGAGCCCCCGGCGCGCAAAGTCACAGGTAGCAGTACCAGATATTGATGTTGATGATGGGAGTCATATGCAGCGACCGTCTGCTGGACTGAGGTTGCTTGGAGTCCAGTCGTTGTTCGTGAAGCAAGCAATGATGGGCATTTTTCTAGCATGTTTGTTTTATCAAGCCTTCGTGATCGGAAGCCTGTAGCTTAGAACTTCAACATTTGGAATGCACTGCCCACGTGCTTTTTCAAGCCGTTTGGCAGTTGGACAGGTCATGGGATCGGCATCCAATGGCTTGTCCCTTGTGTTAACGAGTGTTAATGTAGACTTTGGTCGCCCAACGAGGCCGATCTTTCGGCGGCCGTCCGACACCAGATGCATAAAACGAGGGCAGGGCAACCCTGAACCACCCCAAGTCTCAAGGGCAAACTGCTCTGGTTTGGCGTCCCTGAAGTTCCACTAGTGGCCGATAACCCCAACTTGGTTTTCTTTGGTGTCTCGGTTTACAAAAGAAAGAGAGGGTGGCCGGAGCTTCTGTGTCGTTCGGTTGGGCACGCTCTCATGGTCCTTCTTGTCACGTCAGCCGCCTCTTCCGCAGCCTGGTCAGGGAGCACGGACTTCCCGCAAACTCGAACCTCACGCGCGCACCTTTCTTCTTTTTTGAGTTTCCACCATTAGGATTAACCGTATTTTGGGGCTCCCCTGGGTGTGCAATCTGTCCAGGAGGCCCCGGCTCGGGGGATCCTAAATCCTGGTGTGGATTGGGGGGTGTTGGAGGTTGCAACGGGTTGGAGGATGTAAACATGAAAGACGGCAACCTAAGCCCTAAACATCCTAAACCATGAGCCAATCTTCCTTGGTTCATAGAGCCAAGGCCGGCATGGCAGCAGAAGGGCCTTTGAGAGCTCACATCCCAGACTCCCACCAGGCCATGAGGCCATGAGCAAAAAGCCACCCTACATCATCAGCCCCAGGCGGCTTTCTCCTCAATCTTAGGCTAGAGGAACCTTCGAAAACAAGCGGGTTCGGAGTCAAGTTGCCGCTACCTGCAGCCTCAACCCAGTGTGAGAAAGTCAACACACCACTTCTTTAGCCCGCGAAGTGGCAAACGCGTGTCCAGACGTTCTACAAACACACTCATAATCATGAAACACCCAGAGTTAGAACAGAAGGTTCCACCAGTCATGGCATTCGTAGACCACTGGGGCATGCATGTTTCAGCGACCTGAATGGAATTCGGCCAGTTTCTCGAGAAGTGGCGCGGCGTGGATGCAACAAGCCAGTTCAGCTAAAAAAATGAATGCTGTTGACCAATCTCGAGGGGATCCCGCAAGTATCAATTACCATGCATCTGCTGCACGAGGCGAGTACCTGAACGGAGATGCCCCTCGAACAGACTCGCACTTGAATCAGGCCAACAATGAGCAGCTTGGCAGCAAGCAGCTCATTGTTGGCATGTGCAGGGCTAGAATATGGAACGGCGGCCGAGGATGAAGCCTTGATATCATGAGGTCTCGTTTTGGGGCCCTCCGTCCCTCAGTATCTGGAAAAACCTGCACCTCATGTGCATGGGCTCAGGTACAGCGAGGAAGACCTGCGATGTGCCACGCAAGACTTCGATAAATCCTGCCTGCTGGGCTCTGGATCCTTCGGCCAGGTGTCGCTTGACCTTGTGCAGTGATGGCAAAAGGCGCGCAAAGACTGAAGTCAAGATGTTCGCCGTTCTGAGCTGAGGTACAAAGGGACAATGAAGGATGGAACTGAGGTGGCGATCAAGGCTGCCAAAGACGAACTTCCTTTGGTCGGGGTTGAGATGTTGGTTTCCGTGCCAGCTTGGCAGCTGATAATCGCCATGCATGCTGTGTAATCGGCTTGGGAAAGCCCCCCCCCCCACCAAGGAAGAGATGCAAAGCACTCGCAGACACAGACCAAACCCGGAACGACCCTGTAAGAGACGATGCAGACGGTATCACTGCGTTGCTACCCCCTGGCTGCCTCCGCTTGTCCCCCGAAACAGAAGCTTTAAATCCATGCGTCCAAAACCCGATGGCGTTTCTGAGGGTCTTGAGGTCCTAAGCCCTATAGACCCTAAACTCTGCATTTTCTCGCGCAGGTCCTCCAGGTGCCGGAAGAGGGTGGTTTCGAGGACGAGGTGAGTGCTGCCGGAGTGGGCAACACCTCCACAAGCACGGGTAGCGGGGTGTATGGTTTAGGCCTTGAGCTTTAAGGCGTAGGGTTTTTCATAGACATGAAATTTGCCTGTGTAGCGTCGTAGCTTGCCGTATCGGGATGTGAGGGGGGTCACATTTGAAGCCCAAATCCCATAACAGGGCAGAACCGAGACATGGCCAGGTTCGCGTCCTCTCACGCTTCCGACATCCCAACCTGGTGATCCTCATGGGCTTTGCCAGGCAGATGTCGGCCTTCTCTGTTTGCAGCTGGCATCTTCATAGCCCAATCTCTGAGTTCCGAAGGAGTGTTCCCGAACCCTTGGCCTAGACCCTTTGACCACCCCCTGAGTCTCCTGCCTCGGCTCAGTGCAAGAGGCACGCTGCGACGGGCTGGCGCAGCCTCATCTATGAGCAGCCCAGCCGAGTTCGGGTCGTCCAGTCTAGAGCATTGCAGTGCCGCATGGAGCTTGAAGACGCGCAGCCCTACCCGATGCCAGGTTCTGCGCAGGAGGCGACGTGGCGAGACGGCTGTCGCGGAGCCACCTGTTCTATTTTGGAGCTTGCTTGAAGGTGTGTGCCTAGTACCTAGTAACAAGTTCGTCTGCAAGTATCACAGGAAAATGGGCCAGGCCAGAAACAACTTATGTCTAGCATGAAGGTCCAACTAGGGTTCAGGTGGAGTCTGGGGTTGATGGTTGAGGCATCTGGAAAGTTCTCTCAAAGTTTCGGGTTTACCTTCGAAGCCAACGCCAAAGCCGAAAGCCGGAGATTCACAGCAAGTCGAGTGCGAGCCTGGAAGCCAAGACTTTGAAGGTCTGCACCTTCTTGGGCCCCGAAAAGACCCTCCAGGGGTTGGGGTCATGAAAGCTCAGGTCGACATCACAAGGAGCCCAATGTGAACAGGGCTTTGGGGAGTTTTATGGGCTGCAGAACAGACGCCACCGTCGTAAGCTGCAGGGAAGGGTCCTTTCCTAGCACGGCCAACGCTGCGTGCTACCTACATAGTGCTGAAGGAGGGGTCATGCCATGTGAGTGAGCTTCAAATTCAATAGCACAGGCATGTTGGGTGTGCTCTGTGCGAGGCTTTGTTTCTCTGGGTAGACTAGCTTCCTGGATTAATGTTTCAGAATTCGGCCGGAGGCTTGGAGAATGATGGAGAGGGAGAAGTTTCCTTTGCGTCGGTTCTCCTTCCAGATGTTCCTTCCCCGCCCGAACCCGCAAGCCTGTAAGCCCTACATCCCTACACCTTAAATCCGAAGCTATTGCACAAACACAGTCAGCTAGGCAGGTGGCAAAAATGAAACCTTCAACCTGTGATCAGGAGCTTTTTGGTGGCCGGGAACGTGTCAGTGCCGCCCTGGATGCAGCTTGCGGGCTTTCGCACCTGCACAACATGACCCCCAGGCTGGCTTAGGGCTTCATGGTTTCGGGGGCTTTGGTCGCTCTCAAAATTCGCAAAGTCCGGCTGCAAAAAGAGATCCAATATTGGTGATTCGTCTGTATTTGTTTCATGTTTAGTTTGTTTTTTGTGTACACTGGCGGCAGTTGTACCTGTGGGCCCAGTTCTGTTCACTTGATAAAGAAACAATATACAACGGCCAATACGTACAATGAACACATGAAGACTTTACAAATTTGAGGTCTTATAGTCTATCCTGTGGGTTTCTGGGGGCTATGCTGGGGCTTCAAGCGAAAAGGGTCCAGGATCGAGGACCTATCTTTAAGCAGTAGAAAAAAGAAGAAAAGAAAGAAACACAAATTCTAGGGGTTCTGGGGTTTTGGGGCTTCTTTAGACAGGAAAGAAAGGAAAGATTACGTTCATGCCATACGGTCATCCGCAGGCAGATGTACATCGACATACATGTGAATAGTTGTACGACCGGAGCCAGGCAACTTCTGCAACGTGAATCCGACCACAGCGCAACATCTGGGTCGTAGAGGAGTGATCGCATGAAGTCATGCAAACCAAGAAGCGCAACAGAACATTTCGGCAGAATCACCAACCCTATGGACAGGGGCCGATGTTAAGCACAGACGGACTCTCGTTGTGCATGTGCTCGAGGCTACAGGATTTAACCCCCATAGCCCTGAACCCCGTACCTTTCGTTGCTTGAGCGTTTTTTTTTCTCACACGGTTCTTCCGCACTTATGTTTCCGGGCATGCCTGCGTCACGGATTGTAGGCATCAAACCCAAGTATATCAAAGTTTGCTTTTGATACAGCTGGACGCCCTCATTTTGAGTTATCGTCAGACTTTCGTCACCTGGCTACGAGTGCGCGGCTTGAGGGAGGTGTATGAAATAGCTCTGTGCAAGTTTAGAGGATGGAAATCGCCACAGAGCCCCCCAGTTGTGTTCATACACTACGCAAGCTTGGCAGCCATAGGGCGTTCCACCGAGACATCAAGTCGCAGAACATCTTGCCGCTTGCATGCACATCTCCTTTGCCACAGTTCAGCAGTTTTTGTAACGGGCTTGGACGCGGCGGAATCGATGCATTTATCTGCTGTGGAAGAAACAGTGGCATGGCACAGGGACACGTCAATGTTGCCCTAGTCGCCCTAGTCTGCCGGTTGCAAGTGTGGAGCTGCGAGTGTAGACTCCTGCTTCCGGCGTCCAAGCCTTTTCGCCGTAACCGTCGACCCCTGCATATCCACATCCCCGAAACTGCCTGAAACCCTGAAGCTCAAGGTTGGATAAGAACGGCACTGCCAAAATGGCGGATTTCGGAGCCTTGGCATGAAGGTCTTACAGCTGCAGCTGCTTCTCTTTCATTGTGAGTATCGTGTGCTGCGCCTGGCGCTCTCATGGCGTTGCTTCATGAATTTTGAGCTGCAGGGTTAGAAGCCAAAGTGGCCTCCAGGTCCTGACATCTGTGGCGACCCCCTTGAAGACAAACTTGACATGATAGAATCTTTTCGCGTTGCATGGCGTTCTGCTTCGTTTTCTCCAGGTCTTGCTTGTTTGTCGAGCTGCCTGGTCTGCAGAGATGATTTTAAAGTTGGCACAACGTAGCGTTCGCGAGATGCGGGTTCGTGTGCATCTGTGGCCGACACATTTCGGAGAGGGGCAGATTGCACAGCTTGAAACGGGGGAAAACGCAATCGCATGTTTTAGCATGGGGGCACGACAAACCCTGGGCTGCTGGCGGACTCCATGGCGTTGTCTGGGTTTGGTGCTCTCGAGGTGCCTCGCAGCACAAGGTTCATCGAGTGGGCGGAACTGTGGGGTATGCGTGCCCAGAGTACATCCGCCCCATGGCCGGAATCAAAGATTTTGCGGGTCCTTCTCGGAATTCTCGTGGTGTTGTCTTAGAGAGGAGGCGCTTTATCGTAAGGCGTCTGGCCAGCAATATTAGCATTTGTTAGTGAACAAGCTGTTTATCCCCGTTTCATCAAGACGCATAAGCATCATCAGAACATGGCTTGCCCAAGATATTGCTAACTCAGATGAAGTAGGCCCGTATGCCATGCAAGATCTGAAACGTTCCAAAGCCCTCATAGCTTTAGCCTCTACCCGCTCAGCACCGAAGAAGCGTGAACGGCCATTTTTTAGGGACACAATTGTGTGGTTACAATGTCCCATCGGTGCATCGGTGCATCGTCTCAGCCCTGATGAAAACGCTGGTCCGTCCGAAACTTAGTAAGGAGTTCGGGATTTCAATGTACAACCCCTAGAGGGAAGCCCATCTATATTCCTTAAACCCTAAGCCTGAACGTGCGAAGCCCTAAGCCAGAAACATGCATGGAAGGGTGACGGGGGCGGGGGGGTGGGGGGGGCGGGGTGGTTTAGCCCTAAATTTTCCTGAAGAGAGGAACTGGCCTCATCACCGAAGGTGCAGAGGCCTGGTACCGGGCTGGTGTGGCACCGCTTTGCGTTTTGACGTGTCCGAGAAATTAACCGCTGGCCCCTTTGAGT